CTGGTTTGTGTGTGTGTGTGTGTGTGTGTGTGTGTGTGTGTGTGTGTGTGTGTGTGTGTGTGTGTGTGTGTGCCATGAGTTAGCTACCCAAACCCACATCATAACTCTTCACTGTGGGATGTCTGCGACAGCTGGGGATCACTTCTACACAACAGCTGCCCACTCTTCAGGAATGCGTATGGTAGATGGAGGCATAAAAAAATTCAGGCACAAAGCACCACTGGATTAGCAAGTACCAATTGCAAATACAGTAAAATAAAAAAAATACTCACTCCTCCCAATTACACAGACACACAACCTGCTGTCCAGGTTTCTGTATAAATGAATTAATAAATAACACATTTCATGCAGTCGTCATACAGGGCCGTCTGCGCTCATGCCAAACAGATATTAGTCATCTGTAACCAATTATTTCTCATTTCTAGGATGCCTTGCCTACAGTATGTATTGGCTCTTAGCTGGGTACCTGCTGCTTAGCAACATGTGTGCCTGCTATGGGTACAAAGAGGTCTTTCTTTCTAGCAAAGCCAAAGTGAGCTTCATTTAATGATATCAGACAACATCAACAGCAAGAAGATGTGAAGTCTTTAACGTTTTGTTTTTCTTTGATGGTGAGACAGAAACTGCTGTCCAAAAGAAGAATTACACCAGATAACAGCAGATAGCACTAATGAGGTTTCACATAATTTATGCAAAAATTTAAAAATTCTGTCCACATGCACTGCAATAAACGGTTGGTTGATGATCTCATTGAGGCAGCGAGGCCCAAAGTGAGTTCATACTGTAGGCTACTGGTGGGCAGAGAGATGGAGTGATGAGTCAGCTATGGCTTAGAGGGATAAGACACATTTCATGGCACGGTGAGAGTGAAGGTGGGGTGTGCAAGAAAGCTAAGGGAGCAAAACAGAGACCGGTCTTAAAGTGAGAGGGAGAGTTGGAGAGAAGTTGACAGATATGCATTAACTCTACCACCCCTGGGTAAATAGCTTCCCTGAGTGCAGCACAGAAGCATCCAACAGTAACAACAACTAGACAGGATTTTCTTCCTGAATGATTAATGGCACCTACAGCTTTTATATTTTGAAGTGTACTTGAAGTACTTTTTCCTGTGTTAGTCAAGCAAGTCTCAAGTCCTCAAATTTACGATTTAAGTCTGACTCGTCAAGTCATGTGACTCAAGTCCCCCACCTCTGGATATTACCGTGTTCACATCTTAAAGCTAATTAAGATACTGGGCTTTCAGGGCCTTTTATTCTCCATGGTGCACTGTATCAGTATAGTCAGCATTCAATGTGATGTGTGTGTTTGTGCATTTTCTCCAGGTGACCTCAGAGTCTGAGCACTGTATAATTAAACATGAACATGAGAAATGCATGGAGAGGATCGCACTGCACAACCCGAGCGATGTCCTTGAAGTGGGTAAGTGGGCGTGTGTCTACAAGTATCCATAAGTTTGTGTCTGTGTGTGTCTTCACATCATGTGCAAAATTTGGCATGAAGTTACCATTCTTCTGCTGTGATTAAATTATTGACATCTTGTGTTGCTCAGAAAACACAGCCCTGCTAATCAAAGTCATGCATCTCCTAAGAATCAAACTTTCAGGGAACAGATGGAAAACAGGCGTGTTTGTATATTTAACGATCCTGCATTTTTCACTTTAACCAATCAGTTTTGGAAAGGTCATTGAAGAACATGTAAGGATGAGAGAGCAGTTCAAGTTCGTATTACATTACATTGCCCCAAAAGGCTGCCATACAACACAAACCGTTATCAAATGTCTGCCTGTTAAGTCAGACTGAATTGGTTTCACATTTGTGAAAGGACAAGGAGTCACATACCAAGTCACAAACTTGGTATGTGACTCCTTGAAACAATTATTTCCTTGCCTATGTTTTGTGATTTTCAATAATAACTTCTGTAGGCCTCATGATGCTAGAAAGTTGTACAACAGACTGCACCTCCCAGACTGCACTGGGACTCACAGCTTCACTGACAAGAAAAACATGAAACATTAAATATTTAGGGGGTAAGATAACAAGTTAAAAGAGGAGAAGAGCAGAAAGTTCAGCTTGTTGCAATTTGTCAGTCCTGCAAACTGGATGTGTTTAAGGTTTTTAGTGTATTTACAAAGTCTGAAGCTCTGAGGTGCACCAGAGTAAAAGTATGATTTAAACGAGACAGAATTTAGAGAGTGCAAACCTCCACCAAGACATTTCATTTTCCCCTTAATGCCATTCAACCTAAAAGCAATATTCCCATGATAGTTAGACCCTCATAATATGATGCCTTAACCATAAAAACCTACCCCTAGGATTTGTGATCACACTGATCTCACTATAAGCTTTTAAGTTTTTCAAGAAAAAGATTATTTTAAGATATGTTAAACTTGTTGATCCTCTACTGAATCAGCTACAATTTCGTGTTAGTTGCAAGTGTGTAGCATTATTTGTTGGTTGTGTTACAGTAGCAAGTTTTCTGTGAGCCCAATATATATCTGAACATTCTGGATCAGCACATCCAATATGTTACTTGGATCCAGACCAGATTTTGATGTGTGGTAGATCCAAGCGACAGCCTCTGAGGCTGAGAAATGAAGCCAGTGTGGTGGTGTTAACACCTGCAGTTTCTCAAATGGCCACTTGAGGCTGGCTCCAAAAGGGAGCTAATTCCCACAGACTCTAATGCTGAATTGTCCAACTTCACAGCAGAAACAAGCATGTTTACAGCCTTTTTAATAACTTGCCTGTTTAAATTATATTGAGGCTAAAAATGACAGATAATTAAGGGTGTGGCCGCTTTGGGTGACAGACGAGAGGGTTCCGCCAATGGAGCGGTGTCTCTAGGTGTCTAGCAAGCTCCACTCATGCGCCACCTGTTTTCCCATTTTTGGATTAACTGTAGCAGGTGGAGTGAAGCACTACCAACATGGTGACAGCCAGACTTGAGCTTTTTTGCAATTGGTGACATCACACTGAGTTTGCCTGGCTTTTATATACAGTCAGTGAGTAGATCTTATGTGGATGTTATCTTGTAATTTTTGTCTAAACATTCTAGGCATTGATTATGGAATTAAAAACACAGGTACTAAAACTGGTCCTATTTCACAGTGGTGAAGAATCCTTTACAAAGTTCCTGGATTCGAATGATGAGCCGGATACCCACCAAAATCTAATGGATGGTTCTATGGGCTGTAGCCTATCTCTCCAAATAAATCTCATCAAAATCCATTCATTACTTTTTGGGTTTTTCTGTAAAAGAACAATCATCCAACCAATGCTGGTAAAAATATAACCTCCTTGGCGAAGATATTAACTCAAACACATTTTGCTTTCAGCTGACGCATGCAATTATAGTTAAACTGAGGCACCTGTTGTCATTTAATTCCCCTATTCCTCTGGCAGTTTGTGTATTTCTGTATTGAGCTATCTATTTTGATGCCCTGCAGTGATGTATATTCCCCTGACCTTTTAAATGATCCCTGCCTCTTTAAAAGGAACCACCCAGTGTTTTTGCTGACAGCAAATTGTTTTTGAGGAAATAAAAACGCCTGGTTTGCAGGAATCCAACAAGGGGCATGATAAAAAGCAGAAAGAGGAAAAAGGATAAATAAGAACAGGGGGACTAAGTAAGAGGTGGCCTGTTTTAACTTTGTTCTGGTTTATCAAGATCCATTTCTAAAAGTGCATTTTATGATTTTTTTTTAAATTAAAGTATATATTTAATTGAGGTTCTGTGGCCTCAGATTAGTCTGCACACTTTGTGTACTGTAACTGCTACATAATGTTCTCTGGTGGTGTTATCACCGCCCAGCTAAATTTAGCAAACGCTAAATGAATACTTGCTATAAAATGATCTGCACAGTGTTTACTTCTGAACTAAACCACTGTCATGATGAATCTCATTGAAATTAGTGGTTGGATTTTGGCACCTAAACATGTCACTGTGCACTAAATTAAACTTTAGAGTGAATTAGAGCTAAAACCACTTAATCAGTTAGTTAACAGTTAGTTAACAGTTAGTTAACAGTTAGTTAAAGTGAATAGGCAACAAATTTTTTTAGGCAAAGAATTTATCATCATGAATTAAATATCTTTGTTTATTTGCTTTAACCATCAATATTAAACAATTGGAATGTACATTTTTCACTATTTTCTGATATTATTGAGACCAATCAAGCAATCAGTTAAATAGCAAACTAATTGGTTGTTGTAGCTTTGCTTAAATTTTGGGCCTTGTTGGTCTTCTTTACCTCTAGGAGATCGATCACATCCAGATGCAGATCTTTCCAGGAGCTCCATTTTTCAATTCAAATCAGCATTTAATAAAGCTAATGAATGAATGAATGCTTCTTTGGCATCTAGCTATAGAGCATAAAAGGAACTATCTCTATATTTCTCATCAGTATTCAGCTACAGTTGCAAACCATGAGTGAGAATGCAAAAACCAAATAACATTCAGTCCTTCAATCAGATCAGCTTTAATGGAAATGAATGTTGATCTTATGAATCAATCTCTGTGCATTTATCTTATTGCATGCATGTATTAATTAATCTGTATTGTTGTAGCTCTGAGAGGATTCAATATGCTGTGGGGTTTCATGCAAGATCGCCAGTGATGCAGCTCTGAGAGGATTCAATATACTGTAGGGTTTCATGCAAGATCGCCAGTGATGCAGACATAGTGCTTTTTTTAAGCTGGTTACCTTTGCAGCTCAGTGCGGCTCATTTGGCTCCTATTTGCCCTTTAACTGGTAATTGGCTTCGTGTCCAGCTCACCACACAGTACCAAAACAAATTAGAGAGCCAAGCAGAACAGAGAAAGGTCTGCAAACACACATGTCCAGGAACACACACAGTTGCACCAGCATACTCAGAATGGATGCAACACAAAATCAGACTTGTACCTGCTTCTGCAGCACTATAAAACTAGCTAAGCACAAACAGTGTGGTTAAACCTAGAGAGGAGGAGAAAGACAGAGAAAAGGGCTGAAGATAACATGGAAGCAGAAAGAATAAAACATAGAAATCACAACTGTGAGGGCAGCACTGAAAATAAAGGATGTGAAGTTCATAGCATGCGTGCGTCAGGTAATAATGGGGGTGGAGGAATAGAATCAGATTAAAACAAAACATAAAGCAATAGATTGGACTGGGTTAAGTGAAACCTCATTTTAGCCTGTTTGGGACAGAGTGACGAAGACCACATGAAGGTTGGGTAATTTCAGATTAAACTGACAAATGACATACGGTGCAACGCCAGTTGTCTGGTACATTGCATGGAATGACTACACATTTAGTTAATTTAAAATTTCTACCTTCAGTTGTCAGTTTGTTAGGTACCTAAAATTAACAGTACTAATATTACAGTTGTGAAACATGTTTATAAACTCAGTGGGTTGGGCACAATATTAGAAACCCCTAACACAATACGATTCAACATCACGACAAACTATGGTTCCAAAATTGTCATAAACTTGAATCAGCACCTTTCTTAAAACAAAACCTGAACATTATAATTTTCATGAAGGTTGGATTTATTGCAACACTGTTGTATTAGAGTGCATTAGTGTTAGCTACAGCCAGTAGACCTGCTAAACTGTGTACAAGTATACTGCTCATAAGCTATCGCCAAACTTTTAGCTAATTCTGTGCTAATTAACTCTCATAGGAGCTTGACTTCTGGCTCCAACATAGGTTTAACATAACAAACTATCACCCCTTACAGCTCTTGCATTACCCTGCTATAACCTTACCATAATTATCAACATCATTAGCAAATTGATGTGTGCCTCTGGGGTGGTGAAGGTGAGCTGAGAACAGTGATATTCTGTTCAGATATGTGTTATTGGAGAAGTGTACTCGGTAACAATGAGGTTAACAGTGTGTGTTGCTAATAAAAAACTGACAATATGCTCAGTAACATGGAGTCTACCAGACTACCAATTATTGTTGCCAAAAGCTGCAGTAATGCAGCAGTTGCTGTGTATAACATCCCTTTTCAGCGTAATACATAAAAATTAATTAATTGTAGCAAGAATTACAGAAGTGTGAAATGTTTGCTCCTCTTCGTTTTCACCAGGTCCAGGTCTCCCAGCGTAACAATTACAACATTAACAGGTTTTGTGTGATATCATTAATTTCAGTCTAATCTCAGTTCAGTTTCAGATACAGTGTGTTAAAAAGGGGGCGGCCCTACTAAGTGTACAGTGTGTTTGTTTTTTTTTAACTCTCGCTGTTGTTCTGCCTGTGAAGTTGGAGCATGAACTGCTAAATCCAGGATTTAGATTAAATACAGGATTTTTGGTAGCAAGCAAATTGGCACTGTTCAAATGCAGAGGAGGTCAAGTAAAATAACTGTGCAATAAATGACTTTTTAATCATTTGTTTGTATTGTTTAATGCCTTGCACCTGTCATATCTGTGCAGGTGATAGGCTCAGGTTAGGTGAGGCTGAGGTGCACTGGTCAGTACTGAGAGAAAGTAAGTGTAAGGTTGCTGTGAAGATGCAGGTTTTTCCCTATTTTCTTCCATTTAAAATTGTGTTGCATTTCATTTTTGCCTCTGTTTATTTGATGTTTTTGTGCACCTTTTAAATGTGTCTTGTTTCCACCTCCTCCTGTCTACTGACCTGCATCTTCGACATCCTCTTTAAAGTTTTTCAGTGCCAAGAACCATTTTCTGTTTTTTACATTGGGTGGTGGCAATGCAAAAGCAAATACAAGTGTGCATAAGTCAGAGCATCTGTAATCAGAATTTTTACAACAACCATTCATCAATGACAATGTGACAACAATGTGAGCATGTGGAGTTACTCAGTACCTTTTAATGGCCTCAGCTGGCTGATTACTTTGATTTTACAGGGCTTCATAGTGACTTTTGGCTCATCAACTCATAAATTTATTGTTTTAGTTCATTCTCGCTGCTCTCAGGAGCAGGAAGCTGTTTTATGCAAAGTTCCAAAAACCCACTCTACACTGTCTGCTCATCACCAAATGCCAGACAGACACAGTTAGCAGATCCAGCATCTGGTGAACACAGTGGAGCATTTAGCAGAGCCAGAGACTTCCCTCGGGAGTTGGTGGAGGCCAAAACCAGAGCTATAAGACTGAATATTAGGCTTAATATTCATCGGGTGGCCAGAAGAACGACTCTAAATGAATCACAATGTTGCTTTAACTGCCGGATTTGTAAATAAGCAACTATATGCTAGCAAGCTGACCTTATAACCCTGAAAGGTGCTGATGTCTGTGTTCACAACTTGTTTGTGCTGCCCCCAAATGACCAAAAAGAAAATCAGGTTTAAATTCTTACGAAGAAAGAACAGTTCACATAGAAAATACCCTGTACTTTTTATCTCATGCTTGTCATGAACTGATACGAGCTAGCTAAAATAAAATATTAAAATGATCTGACTGAGATAAATCAGTAAGGGTAACATGATTTAAAAGCTGCTTTAGTGTCAGCAATAGTTTTTGTCCCTGTGGGTGTCATGAAAACTGATATCATAATGAATGGGTGTTGTCTCCACTTCAATTACTAGAAGTTCAATTTGATTCAGTTTGTTTCATTTAATTTGCGTCAGTATCATTTCCTCAGTGTTATAACAGCAAATATGCTGCATAAGAGTGTTACACTGACTCCATGTTTCTGTCTCTGTTATTCTTGCCCGTCAGCGTGTCCGTGGATGTGGGACAACCTGACCTGCTGGCAGGCAGCCAGTGTTGGTGAGGTTGTCGTGGTCAACTGTCCAGAACTCCTCCATGAATTCATAGTTCCAGAGGATGGTGAGTGGAATAAAAACATGAACTGTCTCATTTTATTTCAAAATCACTTTGCTGCATTTCAGTACAGCTTTATTTTTTTACTTCCAGAGATGGGGAAGGTCAGTCGTAATTGTACAGAGGACGGTTGGTCTGATCCTGTCCCTCACTATGTGGACGTCTGCTTCTTCTATGACAACACCACCAAAGTTGTACATCTTCTTTAACCTTATTTAAGTTTCCTATTACATTTACACGCACAATTAACCTTCTGTCTCCAATCCTAGGACATGTACTACGCATCAGTCAAGGCCCTATACACAGTGGGCTACAGCACATCCCTGGTCTCTCTGACTACAGCTATGGTCATACTCTGCAGATTCAGGTGAGTGTCACAATGGGGAAACATTTATTTACAGTGGACCCCCCAAATTCACGGGGGTTAGGTTCCAAGAGCACCTGCGAATTCCAAAAAACCACGAAGAATGAATGTGGTCCCAAAAATGCTTATTAAATGCCTATTTATATAGTTTAAACCCTGAATATGCTCCCAAAACACTTTAATTTAGTGTCAAACTCAACTTAATATCCTTTATCCTTAACAAAATAATGATAAAGTGCAGTAAACCCATATACTGTATGGTATTGTACAGTTTCCTGCAGTACGCCCACAGTACAGTGTACAGTGTAATGTAAAATAGTGATGTTACCCCTATACAGTGGTGTGAAAAAGTATTTGCCCCCTTACTGATTTCTTATCTTTTTGCATGTTTTTCACACTGTAATGTTTCAGATCATCAAACAAATTTAAATATTAGTCAAAGATAACACAAGTAAACACATCATGCAGTTTTTAAATGAAGGTTTTTATTATTAAGGGAAAACAAAATCCAAAACTACAAAGCCCTGTGTGAATAAGTGTTTGCCCCCTAAACCGAATAACTGGTTGGGCCACCCTTAGCAGCAACAACTGCAATCAAGCGTTTTCGATAACTTGCCATGAGTCTGCCACAGCGCTGTGGAGGAATTTTGGCCCACTCATCTTGGCAGAATTGTTGTAAGTCAGCCACATTGGAAGGTTTTCGGGCATGAACTGCCTTTTTAAGGTCATGCCACAGCATCTCAATTGGATTCAGGTCAGGACTTTGACTAGGCCACTCCAAAGTCTTCATTTTGTTTTTCTTCAGCCATTCAGAAGTGGACTTGCTGATGTGCTTTGGATCATTGTCCTGCTGCAGAACCCAAGTTCGCTTCAGCTTGAGATCACAAACGGATGGCCGGACATTCTCCTTCAGGATATTTTGGTACACAGCAGAATTCAGGGTTCCATTTATCACAGCAAGTCTTCCAGGGCCTGAAGCAGCAAAACAGCCCCAGACCATCACACTACCACCACCAATATTTTACTGTTTGTATGATGTTCTTTTTCTGAAATGCGGTGTTACATATACGCCACACATAATGGGACACACACCTTCCAAAAAGTTCAACTTGTGTCTCGTCTGTCCACAGAGTATTATCCCAAAAGCCTTGGGGATCATCAAGATGTTTTCTGGCAAAACTGAGACGGCCCTTTATGTTCTTTTGGCTCAGCAGTGGTTTTCGTCTTGGAACTCTGCCATGCAAACCATTTTTGCCCAGTCTCTTTCTTATGGTGGAGTCATGAACACTCACCTTAACTGAGGCAAGTGAGGCCTGCAGTTCTTTGGATGTTGTTGTGGGGTCTTTTGTGACCTCTTGGATGAGTTGTCGCTGCGCTCTTGGGGTAATTTTGGTCGGCCGGCCACTCCTGGGAAGGTTCTCCACTGTTCCATGTTTTCGCCATTTGTGGATAATGGCTCTCACTGTGGTTCGCTGCAGTCCCAAAGCTTTAGAAATGGCTTTATAACCTTTTCCAAACTGATAGAGCTCAATTATTCTCTTTCTCATTTGGTTTTGAATTTCTTTGGATCTCGGCATGATGTCTAGCTTTTGAGGATCTTTTGGTCTACTTCACTTTGTCAGGCAGGTCCTATTTAAGTGATTTCTTGATTGCGAACAGGTGTGGCAGTAATCAGGCCTGGGTGTGGCTAGAGAAATTGAACTCAGGTGCGATAATGGTTTCTCTGGTATGCACTGGTGTCGTTTTCTTTGGTATACGATGGTAGAATATGGGTAAAGACAGTACAGGTACAGTAATAATTTAACTAAATAAAATATGCCGTAAAAATTAAAGTTAAATAACTAAAAATACAGCAAAATGTGTGGGTACTCACAAGTAATGAATGATTTAAATTTGAAAAAATTATATATTGCCAAGAAAACATCTGTAAAAATACCACAGAGGATATTTGCAGATTAGTGGGGGATCCACAGAGATCTATTAGTTAGGTTCCCAGGTAAAAATCCGCAAAAGACTGAAGTCACTAACTCTGAACCATGAATTTACGGGGGTCCACTGTATTAACATTTAATATTTAAGCTGTTTTCAGAATTTTTAAATTATTTGAGTCTTTAAATTTGAATAATGCTTAACCTAAATGATTATAAGAGAAACAGAAACTTGTTCAAATTTAGTTTTTATGTTTAAGCTTTTGCTATTTAAGCACAGTACTAAAAAATTAAAGGTCCTTGTAAAATGGTTCCTGTACGCTTATGATGCAATTGACATAAAAATGTGTATTAATAATTTAAATTATACTAAGTTATAGTAGTAATAATGAATTCAATAGTCATTTCTCAGGTGAAAATGCCCAGTATTCCCTGGGTCCAGCTTCTCAGCTGTGGGGATTTGCTATACTTTTCTGGCTTATGTGATAATAATTTGAATATTTTTCAGTTCTGGGCTGCTGTCTGGACAGAAAAATACATTTATGTTTTTCTCATATTTCCTAGACAAGATTTATTTATCAAAAAAAAAGTACAGTGTCACAATAATCAAGTAGTTGCCACCCTACAGGGACTTTCCAGTATCCATTTACACCGACAGGTTTGTTTTGTATACAGTTTTGCTGTTTTAAAAACTTTGTGGACACAGTAGCACAAAATCATGTGAAATCACATGAAACTATTTTTAAATAAAAAAAACTGGCCTTTAACATATAAAGTGACACTGGCAAGCTACATTATACCCTTTCTGAGTAGCCTGACATAATCTGAAAACAACAATATATTGCATTCATAGCTAAGTCATACAGTATGGTGACTTTTCCATAAGTAGGTTGTCAATTTTCACTCTAACCCAGCTGCATTTTTAAACATTGTTTTGTTCTTTTGAGTGTAAAAACAAGATAAGATGTGATATATTTTTTTCTCTCTCCTCTCCAGGAAGCTCCACTGCACCAGAAACTTCATTCACATGAATCTGTTTGTGTCCTTCATCCTGAGAGCTATCTCAGTCTTCATCAAGGATGGTGTGCTGTATGCTCAGGAAGACAGCGACCACTGCTTCACACACACAGTCAGTAGCAGCAGCTAAACCATGTGCATGGACTATATGGTCATTTAGACAGCCTATAATACACACACCCTCTGTGGCTGGTCCTCATCAGGAAAGACAACAGCCATCATGACACTTTCAATTTCGTAAATTTCAATCAAAAGTAGATAACTGCAGAATGAGACCTTAGAAAGAAATATTCAGATGTTTTCAAGATTACTGGTTAATTGGTTTCAGAAGGTATGATTAAAGCTGAAGTGGCTTTTAGAGAGGAAAACATATCATCAGGCCTGTTTTGTTTGAGATACTGTATAAAGAGAGGTTCATAGACAAAAAGCTTGAAACCCTTCTCCTCCCGTGTTTCCTATTTGAAATGCACGTTTGAAGTAACTTCAATCATATGCAAATTTTCCAAAAGCAAATTATATGCTATTAGATGACTAATACTCCCTGATAACAATTGCAGAACAAGCTCGACACATTGCTCAGTGCTGTTAAGCAGGCATGATAAATAAATGTAATTAAGTTTACTAATGGCTTCGGCAAGGCCAGTGGAAATCTTTTCCTAGAGGGTATTTACATATCAATGGTTAGTTTGCCTCTCTCTTTTTTCTTTTATTTCCATTTACTAGCTGCTTTACAGCTATCACCATGGCGATAACAGGTCACTGTCATGACGTGGCGGTAATGAGGACCAGATCCCTGCTGTAATTAGTTGACCCCACTCAGACTATGGACTCTATTTGTTAACATGATGTCATTAGATCACTTTCCGCCTGTGATGTATGCGGGTCATTTCTGCTGGCTGTGACATTTTAGAGACGTCTTTGTGTTTTCAGACATCGCCATCTTCTCGCACATTTTAGTAGTATGGTGCACTGTGTTGCAACCCTGTCACCCCTGTGAAAACAATGTCTATTTACCCTGTGATTAACCTGAATAAGAATGCATTTTGTTCTGACATGAGTGAGTTAGATTTTTTTTTTTTTAACAAATGCTGACAATTAAACATGGATTTTACATTTTGAAAATGTACCAAAATGCTTACATATGTTGCTTGACTACTAAAAACAGTGCAAAAGACCTACATTATAGGAATGGTTACTCACTGAGGGATAAATAACATTTTATTTTTCATTTGTTTATGCAAAATTGAAGAGGTGTGGTTTTATTGGAGGGGGTATCTGGAGTGATTCCTCAAGGATTAAACCAAAGGGGTATAATGTATTAATTAGTGATCTTTAGACGTGCTATTAGGATATTTCTTTACCTTTGGATAGTGTTTCTTCCTGTTTCCAGTCTTTTTGGTAAGCTAAGCTGTGCTAAAATAACTGTCCTAGCTCCAGCTTCATATTGACAATGGTATCAGGTCTCTCTTCTAACTCTGGACAGGAAAGTGAATAAGATCGGCCTCCAGTTATTCCAGTAAAGATCACACTAAGCTATATTCTTTTAACTTTTTTAAGGTCTAACAAATTGCTGATGGTACTTCTTAAAATTTTTCACATCTGTTTATGACAATGTTATAGAATTGGCACAAGCTTCTGAGTAAAATGATAAAGAATTTCCCACACTTCCAACACCCTTAAATTGGTTTGTCTCACAGTAACAATACAGATATTAAATAATAAACAATGTATATATATTTATCTGCCTTTGCTACACTAATGCTTGTGGTTCTCTGTGCAGGTGGCCTGTAAAGCAGTGATGGTTTTTTTCCATTACTGTGTCATGTCCAACTATTTCTGGCTGTTCATTGAAGGTCTGTATCTCTTCACTCTGCTGGTGGAGACTTTCTTTCCAGAGAGACGTTACTTCTACTGGTACACCATTGTAGGATGGGGTGAGTGTACACTCCTGATTAGTTATCAGTAGTGAAGGATAGTAGCAACTTCTCCAGCTACAATATGTTTTAAATTCTATGGGTAAATTTAAATTATATTATTTATATAGAGAGGAAAGGTGAGGGAGTGCAATGGGATATATTACAGTGTTTTGAATATACAGTAACAGATATCCATACAATATACAGTATGACTTTATTATTACAGTATGTTTTGACATCGTACTAATGACAAGTACTGTAATTATGACAAATATACACTGTTTTTATCCAATTTATTGTTTTTTCACAGGAACTCCCACCATTTGTGTGACTGTCTGGGCAGTACTGAGGCTCCATTTTCATGACACTGGGTATGTCCCATCATGTCTTCTAAACTTCAGGCTTCGAAGCTGGAAAACAATGTAGTACATTTACTTAAACAAACACATGAAAACACTTATTTTGCTTTACTATGAACTGATCTATCCAACAGTATAGTTTCAGCCTTCAGTGGCTTTTTCAATACAGGAGTTTTACTTTTATTAGAGTATGTCACAGTATGATATTAGTAGTTTGTAAAAGGCATTTGAGAACATATCAAAGCAAAAAAACTGCCTTCGAAATGCCAACAGTCAGTCTTAAATTGTGTCAAAGTAAGCCCTCACACATATATGTACCTGCACAGTTTAGGATAAAGAAGAGATACTGTATGCAACTGCAGGAATTTAGAGGACTACATGACATCTGTAAGGGGGAAATGCCCTTCACTGTTGATGCCATTTATCATTTAATTTATGCTATCAATGATTTTAAAATTATTGAATAAATGCAGTGGCAGCACGGTGGCACAGTGGTTAGTGCCGTTGCCTCACAGCACGAAGGTTCTGGGTTCGGGCCCCGCCTGGGACCTTTCTGTGTGGAGTTTGCATGTTCTCCTCGTGCTTGCGTGGGTTCTCTCCGGGTACTCCGGCTTCCTCCCACAGTCCAAAGACATGCAGCTTAGGTTGATTGGTGTCTCTAAATTGCCCATAGGAGTGCGTGTGTGTGTCTGGTTGTTCGTCTATGTGTTAGCCCTGCGATGGATTGGCGAACTGTCCAGGGCGTACCCCGCCTTCGCCCGATGGCTGGCCGGGATTGGCTCCGGCCCCCCCCCCGTGACCCCGTTCAGGGACAAGCGGTAGAAAATGAATGAATAAATGCAAACAAATTTTTAAAAAATGTGTTTCATGGCCTTAAGTACCAGTGTTTTATCATGCAAATTTGATGCTTTTATAGTAGTCATTTAAAAGCCCACCTTGATTTTCCTACCTTTACCTCCACCTTTATCTAATAAGACAATATTTTAAATGGAGGGAGTAGAGTGATTTTTTTTTCTAAGTAGATTTTATCATATTATTTTATTCTGAGCTGTTAGGCATGCCCCCGTCTGACCTTTCCCTCCCTTACTCTGCAAATGGCCACTTTATTAAAGTATTATATGGTGCTGTGTATTAACACAGAGAAAGTGAAGCAGGGTATGTTGAATGATCACTGAAACACACTGCTCTCCTCCTCCTCCTCCTCCTCCTCCTCCTCCTCCTCCTCCTCCTCCAGATGCTGGGATACAAATGAGAATACTGCCCTCTGGTGGATAATCAAAGGACCAGTTGTGGCCTCCATAATGGTATTGTTTCTTTTGTGAAATACATTTTTACACTTAGCTATTGTTTGCCTTACTCAAATTTATTTATGGCAGGTTTTGTACATTTATTGTATTCCTGTGTGCCCCCTCCAGATCAATTTTGTCCTCTTCATTGGAATTATTATTATCCTGGTCCAGAAGCTGCAGTCCCCTGATATTGGAGGGAATGAATCGAGCATTTACCTGTAAGTTACAACAATCACATTGATTAACACCAGTGTTTATGTCTTCAGAAAAGTCAAAGGTGTGTGTGGAGAATGTCATATTTGAAAACATGAATCTGAATCATGGAAATCACTTAAATTCATTTTGGTGGTGTTGAGGTTTCTAGTACATTCTGCACATAAAGAACCCCTAAAGAAATGTTTTCACCTTTGTTCAGAAGCAGTATTCTATATTTTCTTGCTGACAACAATTTCCATTAAAAAAAAAACCAAAACCAGCAATGAAATCATTCTCCTAACAAGTACTGTCTGTGTATCCAAAGCCTGTAACATTTTATTTCTCAATACCACAGACCTTTATTGTTGTCCAAAGACTATTAAAAATTTCTACTGTTGCACTGAGTCACATTTTCTCTAATGACAATAAACAAGGGCACTGCAGTTTATCTTAAATCAATTGACCTACTGCTGTAAATACGCCCTATAACACTGTATCAATCCGCATTTTGTTTTCGAGTTGTCAGCCTGTCCAGATATATGTCCATCCTTATGCCCGTCTCATTCTTGTGAACAGCGTATCTCAGGAACACCTTGAGGAAGTTCCTTCAAATTGGTAGAAACATCCACTTGGACACAAGGACAATGTGACAAAGCTCGCTATCTGTAAAATGTCTATAAAAACAGTGCCTAAGTGGAGACAGTTTGTTTCTCTCTGGAAATGATTTATAGAATCATATATGTCAACAAAGCGATTATGCCAAAAAAAAGGAAAAAACACCATATTTTTTATTAAATGCCTTCACAGTCTTTACTACATATATTGTATGAGTCTGGACAGACATACATGCACTGTAAACTGTAACTTGACTGGTTGGCAGATGCATATAGCCATGAGGTGGTAATCTGAGGTTTTAATGTATTTGTGACCTTATTTTAAAAATTTAAAGTAGGAATAAACCAGTTTGTAGCTGAGTGCAACAAACAGGGTAGGAAAGTTGGGAGGTACTGAGAGATTGACTAACACATTGTTGGTTTTGATTTTTTTTCAAGGGATTTCTTGGCAATAAGAAGAATACAGAATAACCTATGCCTCCTTTTTTAATTAAGACACCGGATGACACCCTGGACAGTAGATGACAATGTCCTTGACTAATTCTAGCATATTTTCCTTTTGTGTTCTCTGTGTCAGTGGGTATTGTCCCTTTAAATAAATCAATGTTAAAAAAAAGAAAGAGCCATGCATTAATAAATGAAATGAAGCTATCATTAGATCTCTGATATGTTCTCCTAGACACTTTTCAGGACATATTTATTTGTAGTACCTGTTGGCAGGAAGCTTGAGCCTCATTATGGAGTTGTACTGTAGCCAGACATCACTCCTGTTCTGCACCCGCAGGATAGCGTCTATTGAGGCCCTGCAGATAATGTCATTCTCATCTGTTGCTTAGACTTGTGCGTGCATGACCAAGTATGAAGGTGTGCGTGTTGTGTGGCACCATGTCTGTGTCCCTAAAGACATTGTCATTGTTGTGTTGTCTTTGTGCTGTGTAGCAGCTGTGCTCAGAAATGCTTCAGTGAGCCCACACAGGCTGTTCAGCATTCGTGCAGGATGTCAGAGTTATCCACAATCACGCTGTAAGTGTGTGTGTTTGTTTGTGTGTGTTGTACACTAGGGGTTTTTTAAGTTTTTTTTTTATGGTCTGGACTCCCCAGTGCATATTCTCTTATACATACATACAGTATGTTTGTGCTTCTGTACTTGTGAGGACCCTTACTGTCTATTCCCTAGCACCACAGCTTTATGCCAAACACCAACTCTTACCTTAACAGAAAGTTGGAAATGAGCCCTTACAAATGGAGATAAAGTTATACATGTGTATATTAGCCACCAAATAGCAAGACAACTTATTTAACACATCAGGTGCATCACAAACACATGCATATACAGAGAAGTCAACTGGTTCAACAGTTTGAAAATAAGAAATCTGTTGGTTTTTAGATTTGGTTTAGCTCAGATTAGTTTTTCTAGTGCTAATGAATAAACGACACCACAATATGTTATAACTACCTTTTATTTATTATTATTATTTTACATCTGACAGTCATTGATTTCAAAGTTTAATGATGTTGTTTTGCTCCTTTAGGACCCCTGGGGGTCAGTGGACTGCACTGTAAAAGCTATTGTGTTGCATGTGTGTGTTGTCTGTTTTTTAAGGTGTCATCTGTTGTGAGTTCTTTGTGTACTTCTGTCTAGTCTGTGTGACTACAAGGATAGATTGTACATGTTGTGATGATGCAGTGTCTTTGTCAAAACTCATTGTAAATTCACTGAATTTCAGCTTAAATTGACCAGTACAGTAAAGCAAACCTCAGTCACAAAGGATAAGAATGTCTGTTATTGTATTCTGTATGTTCATTATTGTGAACAAATCTCATTGATAGATAAAACTAATGATGTGTTAACTCATCATTAAGTACTTTCCACTGAGCCCTAAGCCCATGTGTTTCTAGTTTAAAAACGGGCCCTAACTATATAAACATTACATCAGTAGTTGTATTGTTGCATCACATTCAGATAACCAGCAGCAGTAAAACATGTTCACGTTAGAATTGCTCTGTTAAACATGTGTTGTACAGGCGTCTGGCGCGCTCCACCCTCCTGCTCATCCCTCTGTTTGGTATTCATTACACTGTGTTCGCCTTCTCACCTGAAGATGTCAGCAAGAGGGAGAGACTGGTCTTTGAACTGGGACTAGGATCCTTCCAGGTAAACTCTTACAGCTTTTTGGGTAAACCAGATAGAAGAGCATCACGGAAGACCATTCTGTTGGATATACTTAAAAGTGTACATCAGTCTCTCTGATCCCTCAAGTTGAATTCTGAGTCAAACATGACTCCAAGGGTTTGTCCTGCTCTCTCAGAAAACGTCTTAATGAATTTAATTCCTTTGCCAGTTTTTCTGAGCCTTCAAACCAATAACTGAAATTTCAGGTTTATCCATGAGGTGTAAAATGTTTTGTAACATCCAGGCATTAAATATATTTAAAAATATCTGCGTAACTGTGGAAAGAGATGTGTCTGCTGTGTGTAGATTAAAATACAGTGGCCCCAAAATTGATCCTTGCGGCACCCCATGTTACATTAGAATACTTGGCAAAATAATCTTTAGTTGCTATGAAGAACTTTCTGCCAGTAAGATAATTAAACTAGTTAAAACCAGTTACAGATAAACGGATGTGAGACCTAGGTGTACTTAAAAGAAGCCCTTAAATTTCTTTGATTCTCTGTTCCATGCTGCTCCTCAGGGTTTTGTGGTGGCTGTCCTCTACTGTTTCCTCAATGGAGAGGTAAGCCCTTGTACCAGTTCCTAAACACATTTACTTTGTGATATTTTGAATTATATCTCATTGTTCTTATATAGAGTCACAGAAATTTGCTTGCACTGCAGCATTTTAAGTGTTTATCTGTCTGTCAGTAATTATAACTTCTTCTATAAATCAATTGTAACTGCTCGTAATAAAGAATAGATAACACACTGTAGCACACAACTATTGCAGAACACACATTTACATAAATTTGTCTATTTTTGCCAAATATGTTAACCCAATGGGCTGTTACTTTAAAGCACCAATGATAGAGAAACTGGTGCCTGATAATAAATTAAAAGAAATAATAAACATGTTTTCATTATGTCTACAGTAATGCTGAAACAAACTGCCCCATGGTTGAGCCTAACCGCCGACCCCTGATGTAAATTATGAAGACTTAGTTGTGCTATATTATATTGTCTTTTATTCAGTAATTGCTTTTACACCAGTTGTGAATGCTGTACAAGAATTAAAAATGTTGCCAAAGACAATAAACACTTAACCCTCTTTAAGTGATACCCACAGTGTACTGAACCTTTGTGTGGAGCTGGTACAGCTTAAAGTACATTAAAAAATGACCTTGTGAAGTTTCTCCCTGAAGGTGCAGTCAGAGATCAAGAGGAAATGGCGCAGCTGGACGGTGAATCGGTACTTTGCTGTGGACCTGAAGCAGCAGAGGCACCCTTCGTTGGCCAGCAGTGGAGTGAACGGCGGGACTCAGCTGTCGATCCTCAGCAAGAGCAGCTCCCAGATACGCATGTCCAGCCCGCTGGCGGAGAGTGCCAACATCAGTCTCCCCACCTGAGCGCCTGATTGACCAGAGTTAACTTCAAGGTGCCGTTCGACTTATTGTATGTACATCCAGACCAATCAGAACAGACCAAAGTGGCCCCTCACGCCTCTTCAATTTTATAGTTTGGCCTATAGGAAAGGAGGTATTTCTAAAAGTATTTACTGGAGATTCATTAGAAATACATTTCTGGCTTTGATACTTTTACAATTTAATTTGGTTATGCAATATAACAGAATTCATTTGACTATTGTAGTTGATTCTATAGATTGTAATCTTTAATCATGCACTTAATATCTTTATAAAAAACAAACTTTAAATCTAGTCCATTGCTTAAAAGAATTAGAAATAAAAAATTAGAAATCCCCTTTCTGTTAATATTTTTATGTTAACTGTAGCCCTGTTATTGTTTTATTTATTATTGTAGAGCTGGTGCCAACAGAAACAGTAGTAGTTGTTGTAAAAAAAAAAGTAAAAAGTCTATAGTTAAAAATCAAATGAAGGTGTCATATTTGGCTGCTTGGTGTAAATAAATGTGTTTGAAAGTTTCGTCACCTGACTGGATCTAAAGTTATAACTCATAAGAACCTCTACCTTGCTTGTACAAATGCTCACAATGTTTCATCTTAAATCTAAAAGTTTTTTTTACAACCAGCCATAAGTACAGAGTATGTCAAAAGATAGATAATAATAATTAAAATCAGCTCATGGAGTTTATAAATAGTTATTTTCTGTGTCTAGATCAGAATTTCTCTGTTTGGCATAGTACTGTGGTGTACTTACCTTTTCAAATGAAAAAAACTGGAGCCCAAACCTGTCAACTTCATCGCAGTTGCCAAAGAACCAGAAGCTCCTGCTAACTCTATTCTGAACTATTTAAAGAGCAGTGCTTCTCAACCTGATAGTCAAGAAATGAATCCAGTTAGGAAAAAAATCCATAAATTACATTTCTTTTTAAGGATTTTTATGTTTGCTTTGTTTCTTTTAAGATGTAGCCCACACACTGATTTGATGCTCCAAAAATAGTATTTAGTCAGGCCAAGCTGCCATACCTATGCTTTGTTTCTTGTAAAATAGTTTCACCTGTTTGGGCCTCTAAAAATATTCAAGTTAAACATGCTGAGAAAATAAAATAATTCGTTACTCATAGCGCAGAAAAACCTGATAAGGGGCTGTGAGTTGACTTCATAATCTTTTTAAAGTTTATGAACCAAACATTTTGGAAACCACTGCTGTAGAGAACATGACAGTACATAATGGACTATAAAATTTGATTAACAAAAGAAAAATATGGTTAGAATTCACACTCTAAAGTAATTTATTGCCACAGCCAGAGTCAGCACAGATGTCCATAGCTACACTGTGGTTGTTCCCTCCAGCTGGTTTTTTATTTATGAAGTTGTCAGTCATTTTTTGAAGACTGTGAAGATAAACACTACATGTGCCATTTAGTGGCTTTTACCTGAAGCTCCTCATAGTGCTATGAATTTATATGTAGAGTAATTTATTGTAAGTGGTGAAAATCAAACCCTCAACATTCTCCTAAACTACCATATACTGTAATTCTTTGCCTAGTTCTCTTTTCCTCTGCACTTCAGCCCATTGTGCCATATTAAATTGATTTTCTTTTTCTAATGTTTCAAATTGATCAGCTTGTACATTCATATTCCAAAGTGCCTAGTCAGTCATAAATAGCTATCACTTTTATTTAAGGTACAGCATACATATAATTAAAGGCAAAGAAAGACTAATTTTCTGCAAAGAATGTACAGAGTGGTTTGTTTTATTGGGATGATTGTTATTTTTCAGTGTGTGCCACAAAAAAAATTAGCAAAATTCTTTTTTTTAAATAACTTACCCATAATATAAAACTAGTCATGTTAAGCTTTTTTCTTTCTTTTTAAATATGGCATCTTTGACCAGACTTTAGTATTAGCTCTAAGTAATTGATGCCTTTTTTTGTTTGTTTTTTGGGTAACACTACAATCTGTTCAAGATAACTGCTGGTCCATTTCAATTCAGCACTAATGTCAAACACATAAACACTTTCCAAACCGAACTGATGCAGGTTGTAACAGTTAACACAAAATGCTTTAATGTGACAGCTCTTGACAATCGTAGAGTGTTGCCTGTTTTTTTTCTATTTTGTCTTTATGTTTGTGCACACGCAACTTAACAAACAATAACTGTCCGAGGGGGAAATAGTTTATTAAGACGAAATGTGAAATGTTGTGTACAGAAGGGATTTTTTTCTGTTCAATGTTTAATCAAGAAATTAATTTTTCTGAACTGTCATCTGAATGAATTGAAAGAATGTAATAGCTTTAAACAATGACTAGATGACATTGTCAAACAGATAAGGATTATTTGTTTTCCATAAACCAGTGCCATGTGAATGAAGTATTCATGCTTTTCTCTGTGTAACAGTTCAGACTTTCTTGCCATAAATGGTGATGATGGGAGATGTTTGGCACAATGGCTCATTTCTGATTTTGATGACATTATGAGAGATTACATTTACAAGTAACCTCTATAAAAATTTAAAAAAAAGAAAGAAAACAAAAATATATAGGCTACTGTATATATGCGACTGAAGAGATGAATCTGTTTAAGGTATCCGCTCGGCTGCTTTTGAACCAAATAGCTAGTGAGTGTGAGACACGACACTATCAAGGGAACTAGAGTCCGAGAAGATGATTCCAGCTAACTGAGTAGGTTTTTAAAGGTGGAACAGCTGAGACAGATAACACACAAAGTGTGTATGAAGGTGAAATGAAAACCACTCTGCTGCTGCTTACATGTTCTATCACCAGCTGTCACTCTGAGTCACAAAGAGCTCAGATGGAAACGACCATGTCTAAAAGCTGTTAATGTCTGTGAAAAGAGTAGAAAACTCCTACCTTTGACCATATCTGTGTATGTGTATATGTGTATTTGTCTAAGACAAGAAGGCAGCAAAGAGTTTTAGTTGGACTGTATAGTAAAGAGTGACACATTGTGGAGCCTTGGATTGTTTCTGGATTTTGGATGGAATGGGTTGAGTGTGGCATTCAGGCACTTATATGCTACATGCATATCATTGTTCATGTTTTATTATTTTATTTCACATTTTAAAATATTATTCCTGCTCATTTTATCTTCAAAACAAACTGTGAACTGTCTGAGTTGTGAGATATTTACTGTGATATGGGAGGAAAACTGGACACTTGGTTTAGTGCTACTACAGGGTCAAGCAGCGTAACTTTTAGCTTATTTTTTGCTGAAACTAACCACATTTCCCTCTTCACAAACATCCATAGTTTAGCTTAACAGTTAACAGGCTCATCTTTATGTGTCAAAGAAACTCTCCTGATATACAGTATTTTCTTAAAGCAGAAGCACTTAGGGAAATAAGCGTTTTCTGGGAGATGAATGATAATAGGCATAATACAAAGCTAGTAGTTGGTTGTTTCCCACTAGCAGGTAGATAAAACAGCTATCGAACCTTCTCCCATTTCCAGTCTTTGTTGTATCAGTCTTCTCATCTAATGCTCAGCAAAAATGTGAGTAAACCTTTTAATTCAAATTTAGCTGTTCTCTAAATGGCCTATTTCTGTGTTAAGATGCCTTCTCTTTGTTATTGTGGCTGTTGAGATGCTTTTATCAGGTGGTGTGTGTGCAAGAGAGACAGAGTTATTGATTGTAAATAAATTTTTGAATGTACTGTTGCTCAGCTGCTCTTAAATGTCACCTGCTTTCGATTTGCCATGGTGTACAAATGATGTCTCTATCAAATATGTGGGCCTATATTTTTGGCATGCAGGTGGATCTCTTGACAAAGACCTGTAATGTTTGTGACAATGTTTTTGTACAGTTATACAGTGTGTGGGTGTGTCTATGTTTGAAAGTTGAAGAGAGAGTATTGTGTAGCCTACGTATGTGTATGCAGCAACAACCATACTTGATGATAAGTGTAAGTAACTTAAATGTTGAAAAAATATCTGCAAACTTTCATTCAACTTAGGTCCTACCTGTGTCATGTGTAACGTGCTCTGGTGTCCAACATTCACATCGCAAGATGTGTAAAATTGACTGCAAAATAAATCTGTCTGTGGTAAGTTGTTGTACTTTGTGAAGACTTATTTTATTTTATTATTCAAGTTTAGAGAAAACTCAGAAAGGAATACAATAAGGTCATAGACAGTATTTTGCAAATCACAAATGTTTCATTTATTATTGTGCTTTTTCGTACGTACAACCCAAACTAGATCCACAAGAACAATAATTAAAATAAAGTGCTCGCTGTAAAGTGCAATATTAAATCATGCTGTGTGCTGACAATGACAGTGAAAGTGCACATTATTTATGTTAAAAAAATACATAAAATAGGGATACACTGATCTCACTAGGCTTTTTCTCCACCAAATTTGATCACGACACCTAACACAGAGTAATATAGCCTACAGTAGGGGTGGGAATCTTTGGCAAACTCGTGGTTCGATTCAGAAATGATTCAATTCAATTCAATGCAAAGAAAAAAAGGCATTATATTTTGGCTCTTATTCTAGTGCACTGTGTCAAGCTGTTGATTCCTGTCTATAGACCACTGAGCTGCAAATTAAATACTGTATACAGTAACAAATAGCTAAAATAACTGGTTCTGATGAGGGTCATTATCAGGCTAGCAGAAGAGGAGCAGATTATTTTTTAAAGTTAGTGTAATTTAAAAAGCAAATTTGAAATATAGTATAGGTTTTAAGTGTTCTTTTGTAATTCAGTAGTATTTACTGACCAGCATCTCTGATTAAATGGTTTTGTCAAAGTAACAAAATAGCCTACATTAATTCAAGTACTGTATTTGAGTACAATTTTGAGGTAGGCAATCTGTACTTTGAGTATTTTCACTTTCTGCTACTTCATAGTTCACTATATGTTATAGGTAAATATTATAATTTGTACACCACTGCATGTATTTTTGATCACTTATAATCACAAGAGTTTGAATATCCTCAGTGGGAAATTCACAAGCTACTACAGTATTTCAAATTATAAGCATAGTTAACATTAATTCCATCTTTACCAGCTGCAACATTGTGATGGTATGAATAATTATATACCACTATGAGAGACATTAATATGAAATTTGCTATTCTGCTGTAAAAATGTGTTCATTTCTTGCCTGAAGTTTGATAAGTTGCTGCATTGTGCTGCTGAGCTGCTCTCATTTGTTAATAAATATGTTCAGTGCTCTGCTCCACCAGAACTAGTCTGTCGGTGATCGGCTACAAAGTATTCACACAATCATCCACAATGGTCTTTTAAAACTCATTATCAAGTTATTAAAATGACTTACAATAACAGGCAAAGACCGCTTACAAAAGCATTATACTGTGATTAGTGAATTTAATTAGGTTATATTTAAGGAGTTTGACATTTTGAAAAATAACTACTTTTTATTTTTCTACATTTAATATGAGGCTACAAGCAACAGTTAGCTGGAGACTGGATGGGGAACAGCTAGCCTTACTCTGAAATAACTGCCACCTGCATGTTGTTTTTACATTTAGATCTTTGTAAAGATTAAATACAGCAGATATAACTTATTAAATATCATAAGGTATTTTTGTTACTTTTAGACAGTGCGTTATTTCCGGTTGTTATGCTAAGCTAAGTAGCTGCTTACCGTAGCTTCATATTTACCATAATCCTGAGTGGTCAGGTTGTCTTCTAACACTTAGCAAAAAGCCAATAACATTTTTCAAAATATCAAACTATAGGCCTACCCTTAAATATTTTTTAAAACAATTTAATGTTCAGTAAATGACTTTTTCATAGTTGGCAATATGCAAAGTAGAGTAAAAGCAAAGTAAAACACAAGGACTTTGTCACAAAGTCTTATAAGTCTCTGCCTGTGTTCATAGAACCTAAATTATAAGATAATCAATGTTCTGACTTGTTTCTTGTAAATTTGGACTGTCATACAATGTGGGCAACACAAATGTGTCCTGAATCACCAACTTTAAAACAAATTAAATATTGATCTAAACATATTTTATATCGTAAACTGTCACTGTGTCAGCTGAAATGCTCAGTCAAGCTAATGCCTATTGCTAACCAATTAGCAAAAACCGCTACAGAAAACAAGCTTTAAAAATGCACAAATACTGTTTAAAAATAGTTCATCAAGTCAAACAACTCTTCCAAATAAATCTTTTAAGACACAGTGTAGGCTGCCAGTAAATGGAAGTTTCACACGCAGACACACACTATCTTAAATATGTTTCTATATCCCTTGTTTTCATAGTCATCTCTATACAATCCCTCAGTATGTGATCTTTTTTGCACTGTCAGTGCAGACTACAGTGGTGTAGAATCATTCTGCTACAGCTGAGAGCCAGCTCTGTCTCTACTGTAGTTTCCTCTTCCTGCAGTGTCAGTGTACTTTGTGCAGTGTTTTTTTGTCTTACTGATACAAGAAAGAACACACTACAAAGAGCTGCTGTACCATCCTTAGTCATAGCTGCTGCTGACACTGATGAAAAGCATCCTGACACAACACTTCCTCAGCCACTCATCAGTGTTCATTATGGTCTTATGTTCTCACAGGAGGGGTTTGTTGTTATTACAGTAATGTGATCAGCATGTTCAGCTTTGAGGTCTCTAGAAGTAGTACTAGTCTATACAATCATACTGAGGAGACGTCGCCGCTAGAAGGAGGCTGCCCAACCCCCCCGCCACGGGCTCGAACTGTAATCTGAGTGATACTCCTCTTTGCTGGGTTGAGATGATTTTGATTGTGACACTTCCACAGCCTCCTCCGCAGCTCTGCTTGGACCTGTAGACAAACACAAAGATTACCAGATATGTCAATGTGTAGCAAGACGCCCATACTGAAAGAGGCACAGAACAATCACAAAACAACAGACTGCATCATTCCTGTGTCTCCCTGTAGTTGTTTTGTGTCTTTTTGTGTTTGTTTTGTATCAGTTTGTAGTCCTTTTGCAACTCTTTGTGGTTGTTTGCCTCTTTAGTCATTTTGCTTCTCTCTGTAGTGGTTTTGAGCCTCTTTGTGGGTTTTTTTTTTTTTTTTTTGTCTAGATGGAGGTCCCAGGTCCCCATGCCTGTTCTGGTGGGCTGCAAGTTCAGTAATCGGTCCACAGTCCCTGTTTTGTTGGTCTTATCTACAAGGATGCATATGTACACACTTGCATAAACAGGTGAAGTCGTTCACATTCCTGAGAATGGTTTGACAATATCCCACTGACTAACAGATGTTTGTGATGTGCCAGAAAACAAAACAATGCTTCAGCAATTGCCGGGAAAAAGAACACTACTAACTAGTTAACATGGACACCCCAAAAATATACACGGTGCTTTTTGTATTCAGTAGCAGTGAAGGTAAACTACTCTCATGACAAGAAAAATACAAAGATCACCTTTAACTTTTGACGGCATTTTCCCCCACATTAGCTCTGTGTATGATACATGTTCATAGAATTTTTCAGTCATGAAGCCAACAAATCAATTTACCTACCTCGCCATTCATGAAACAGTAAAGTAGTGCCACCACAAACCCCTGCAACAAGAAAGACAGTCTTACTTTGAAAATTATGACACTGCTCATCTAGACATACTTAAGCCTTAAGAAGAAGGTCATAAAATCTATCACAGTAGATTTTAAATATTTCTTATCTTTCTTCCTTTGTAATTTCCTGAGGTAAAACTAAAAGTGACTCTTCAAAGCTGCAGCCTCAAATTCATGATAAATAGGCATTTTAAATGATTAGTAGTGTAGCACTGGGGACGGAGAGACACTTGGCGGGATGCCCCATAATGCCCCTCTGGGCAAACAACTGAATTAAATAATTCAGTATTATGTTAAGTGTGAATTAAATAATTCAGTTGTTTGCGTGTTATTAGTTGGAAGTTGTGTTGTTGCTGTGTGCAGATGCCTCTGTGTGTGTGTGCTAATAAAAGAGCAGCTCTAAGAGTGCAGAAAAAGGCAATTTATGGCTTCAGCTCATTCCTTAAGCTACCCTATGTTATTGACAGTTTCCCTCTCATTTTTAGTTTTCTGGACTAAATTTTCATTGCCATATTGCTTTGTGATTTGTCTTCATAGAGTCTGTGAATTTATTCTGCTCCCTCTAATCTATTGTTGTTGTTGTTGTTGTTGTTTTTTTACCTGGAAGGAGCCCAGTCCCAGCTCGATGTAGAGTCTGGCTGCCACTCCAGTATTCTCAGGCAGGAAGGCAAATACAGTGTAGTGCATCCCAAACAGAGGAATGAGGAACAGTGTGGATTTTGCCAGTCTCCTGAGGGAAACAGATAACAGAAGTAGAAGGTCTAAATGTAAGTACAGATAATGATCAGGACTCTGAAACACTTGCTTTTATGCTGAGGCCACTCAACAGTAGTACAAACCAAGTTATAATGCATATATAAGGATGGCAGACACAGAGTAATTGTTCAGCATTGTTACTCCAATTTTCATCACGGCCCACCAGCCAGTGTCAAAGCTTCATTACACTGACCTTTAAAACAGTGCTGTCATCAGTTCAATCAGTGGCAGAGTAAAAGGCCATAAGTGTGCTCAAAACTTAGTCCAGATCAGATCTCTGATGTCTAAAAATCATGTAAATATTGCCATTTAATTTTTGACGATATTATGTTATTGCACCCAATTCTTACAAATCATGTGGTTTGGAAATTAAAAAAAAAAAACTCCCCCTTTGCTCTATATTCATAAGAACCAGAAATGGGTTATCCTTATCTCTTCTCTTCATTTTCTATTTCTTAAGTTTCTGCTAATAGACTAAAAGATATTCAGCAGTTAATCTAAACCCTAACAGATGTCTGATCAGTGTCTTGTTCTCTGAAGCTTACATCAGTTAGTAAAACATCAAGCTGTCACACAGACTAGAACATGACTATATAGTGAATATTCACCGTAACCAAAATAATCATTCTGATCAGAAATAACGTCAATGATTTGGCTGCTGAAAAATTAAAGTTTTTTAAGGCCTCATCTTGTTTTCAAGCCTGCAGTATAATAAGACTGTGGTCATCTTTTGTCACACCTGGGCCTTGTGCCTTCTGCCAATGTCACAGGTCCTTCTGAATCACATCTGACATTTACAAGACAGAGATGAAGCTTTTGAAAATGTGAAACCTTCATTGAACTGGTGGAATAATCCTATCGCTGGATGGGATGGAGGAAATACTATTTCTGGTACAAGCTGCTATTTTTGTGTGCTCTCATCATTGGAATCAAATGTCAAAAGCAAAGGCAGACATTCAGGTAAAGCAGGATTTCTGTGCTCCTATGTGCAGCATTTTCTCTCTTAAACTTTAAGAAAGAGTTCAGCATTTTGTCAAGGGAATTCATCAGTTTACTTCCATAGTAAACTTTTAAAACTCAGCAGTTTTTCCTCAACACTGCTGAGTGGTCCAAAATATTTTATCCACAAATATTATATGGGGAAAAATATATATGTGAATTTGGTTTGGTCATGATTTTACCTTTGTATTGTTATTAATATGATTTTATTTACTTCGGGCTGCATTTTGTACAGTGCATTGCAACTAGGCATCTGTACGTTGTCACTAGGAAATGGGAAGTAATGGGAGGGACACAGAGACGTTAGGAGCAGCTTGTGGTGCCAATTTGTTTTCAGTCTCACTAGACCCTCTAGGCTGAAAAGAAATTAGGCAGAGTAGTTTTACATTTGTTCAGTCAGTAAGTTGAAACTCACATAAGATGTCCTGTGTCATTGTTTCCAGCCATGGCCGAAGATTTAAGTTTTTGTACCAGAATCCGGATGACGTTGATGAAGATGACAATGTTGACCTGGTAGGCATACACACACACAATTCCATAAATTACACATTCAGAGTGACAGAAAGAAGGCACTAAATTTACATTATTAACAGAATGTGTTGCAACCTCAATGTATGTTAATACACTAGAAGTACAATCTGGGCTACCTCTGCCTGAAGTCAAGGACCAAAATTAGTATGAATTTGGGCGATTAATCTGCCACTGCAATACTTTGTAGCTGCAACAGGTGTACCAACAGTCAGGTATAGTTACTGTTTCACACAGTAGCTCTCCACTCACCAGCAGCGAGGCTGTGATTGGTCCTTTAATGATCCACCAAATACCAAGATTGTCTGTGTCATCCCAGCAACTGCAATTAAAGCCAGATATGTTACACTCAGTTACAAACACCATAAGAATTACTGCAACTCCTGTTTAACATTCAGTGGCTCAAGATCTTTGAAATGATGAGAAAATATAGGCTGCTTTGCTACAAAATATAAAGACTAGAACATGACTATATAGTGAATATTCACCGTAACCAAAATAATCATTCTGATCAGAAATAACGTCAATGATTTGGCTGCTGAAAAATTAAAGTTTTTTAAGGCCTCATCTTGTTTTCAAGCCTGCAGTATAATAAGACTGTGGTCATCTTTTGTCACACCTGGGCCTTGTGCCTTCTGCCAATGTCACAGGTCCTTCTGAATCACATCTGACATTTACAAGACAGAGATGAAGCTTTTGAAAATGTGAAACCTTCATTGAACTGGTGGAATAATCCTATCGCTGGATGGGATGGAGGAAATACTATTTCTGGTACAAGCTGCTATTTTTGTGTGCTCTCATCATTGGAATCAAATGTCAAAAGCAAAGGCAGACATTCAGGTAAAGCAGGATTTCTGTGCTCCTATGTGCAGCATTTTCTCTCTTAAACTTTAAGAAAGAGTTCAGCATTTTGTCAAGGGAATTCATCAGTTTACTTCCATAGTAAACTTTTAAAACTCAGCAGTTTTTCCTCAACACTGCTGAGTGGTCCAAAATATTTTATCCACAAATATTATATGGGGAAAAATATATATGTGAATTTGGTTTGGTCATGATTTTACCTTTGTATTGTTATTAATATGATTTTATTTACTTCGGGCTGCATTTTGTACAGTGCATTGCAACTAGGCATCTGTACGTTGTCACTAGGAAATGGGAAGTAATGGGAGGGACACAGAGACGTTAGGAGCAGCTTGTGGTGCCAATTTGTTTTCAGTCTCACTAGACCCTCTAGGCTGAAAAGAAATTAGGCAGAGTAGTTTTACATTTGTTCAGTCAGTAAGTTGAAACTCACATAAGATGTCCTGTGTCATTGTTTCCAGCCATGGCCGAAGATTTAAGTTTTTGTACCAGAATCCGGATGACGTTGATGAAGATGACAATGTTGACCTGGTAGGCATACACACACACAATTCCATAAATTACACATTCAGAGTGACAGAAAGAAGGCACTAAATTTACATTATTAACAGAATGTGTTGCAACCTCAATGTATGTTAATACACTAGAAGTACAATCTGGGCTACCTCTGCCTGAAGTCAAGGACCAAAATTAGTATGAATTTGGGCGATTAATCTGCCACTGCAATACTTTGTAGCTGCAACAGGTGTACCAACAGTCAGGTATAGTTACTGTTTCACACAGTAGCTCTCCACTCACCAGCAGCGAGGCTGTGATTGGTCCTTTAATGATCCACCAAATACCAAGATTGTCTGTGTCATCCCAGCAACTGCAATTAAAGCCAGATATGTTACACTCAGTTACAAACACCATAAGAATTACTGCAACTCCTGTTTAACATTCAGTGGCTCAAGATCTTTGAAATGATGAGAAAATATAGGCTGCTTTGCTACAAAATATAAAACATCGTACCCTCTGTCGTCATAGAAGAATCTGGTCAAAACCCAAAGTATGACAACTGCTGACGGGAGCCCTGTGATGTGAGAGCAGAGATTCATTATGCATGTTATGGTATATCATCATGCTGGTGTGTATAAAGTGATCATTTTTCTGGTAAGTTTGTTTTTAATGTTATTTGATGACATAAAAAGACGTGTATTTTGGTTGATTTGACAGCTCTGATTGCTGGTTGCTCCGATGCTGTCACTCCATATCTGGTCACTACTGCACAGAATCTGGTTACAAAAAACGCAAGACTGTGAAGAGTCGTGGAGATGTTGGTCAGTTCCTTCAGACCCAGCTGATGCTGTGTGTATTTATCTACAGTACTGGTGGACAGATGCAGAGCACTTTATTAAGAACTAGTCCCATCATGGTCTGCATGTGTCACCTCCTCCATCCTCCTCAGCACCATCCACAGTTTTTCTGTGGAACAACAAAGCAATTTAAACTCACTGCACAGTGCGGCTTTTCCAGGAATTCTCCTAAAACTTCTTACACAGTCTAACTTGGATGGACCGAGTCTGCCTCAATGTTGATAACCCAGCTAATGTATACCTTAATGAGGCTGCTGCAAAGTGACACAACCTATGCTTGAACCCCAGGGGTCTGTTCTGATGGACAAAGGGGGGTTTGAGCGTCCGTTCTGCTGCCACAATTCAGCAGACTCTGCAAAAAGCTCTCATTAGAAAATACTTCAGCCATTGTTTTTGAACACAGAACTTGCCTCAGCACTGGCTGAGCATTACAAGGTCATGGTACCTCTTATGTTATAAGTACAAAACCTCCAAACAATTGTTTTTTGCCAACTGTAATTTTTGTCGGCTAACAGTTTCAAGAGCTCGAGCTCTTAACTGAAACATTCTGTGTCTGTCTCCACAACATGCAAACATCCTATACTGCTCCTTAAAACAGTCACTGCTTAACAGCACATTGTAGCTGGATTGTGTCCTGTTACATTTTGATAATAGGACAAAGATAGACGTGGAATTGAACTACCAGGAGTAGAAGCTTGAACAAGAAAATACTGTATACAGAGAACAGGAAACAAAAAAGACAAAGGAATAGGAACAGGAAGATGGTGGAAATAAGTTGACTGAGGAGCACTTCATAGAAAGCTCAGGGAAGCAAAAGCTGAGGGAGAAAACAAAGGGAGATCTGCTGAGACACAGCTATAAAATCTGGAAATAGATTTCCAGCCCATACTGTAAAGACATGGTAGGCAATTTGAATATTTGTCAGTTACTCAGTGAGAGCTAGACACAAACTTATTAAAGTGTGTGGGGTTTTTTCTATTATGAATATTATCTGTACCTACAGTATATAACCAACACACAGGAGTCAGTCAGTTCTTAACCTGCCATAGCTCCAGATGACCCCTTCATTCATCCATACTCACCCCATCCAATCAGGATATACCACCAGAAGTATTTCCTTTGTGAGACAAAGGTCAGGGCCAGCAGCGTCTGCAGATACATGCCTTCCACCAGCAACCAGAAGTAATTGGCCAGTATGCTGAACTGGAAGAAAGCCACGGCTGACTTGCATGCTGTCTAGAGAGGACATAACAAAGTAAAATCGCTAGTAATGGATGTCAGTCATGATTTAGCACCAGACTAACACACAGCTTGCGTGGAGGCAGTACAGCTGGTATGTCCAAATTGCTTATTGGTACTTTGTCTTGTGTCAGAAATGAAAAATGAGAACTAGAGATTATAATCTCACTGTAGCTATTAGAGGTTGTTATGTAGATTCATCACTTGATAAACTACTTGTTGTTACTCTGAGGATTACATCTTTGACAAGCCATTATAGTTACTGTAGCCTGTGTGTCTAGACTTGAGTCTACAGTAGATGGTTTGTGAAAACCTGATATGTTTTTTCAACTTTGAACAGTGTTTTAAAATATTTTGGTTCAGATTTTTGACATGTCTTCCCCTTTATCACTCCACTCTTGTGTCTCTTCAACTCAGTCATACAGCAGATATGGGAACCTGCTTTGACAGACACGTTACTGATTAATTAGTACCCTCACCGTGGACATGGAGCAGTGGTCCAAGGTCTCATCAGCAAACAGCACCATGTCTTTAATGAAGACAGCGCTGGCTCTCAGGATGAAGGAGGAGAACAGGTTGATGTGGATGTAGTTTCTGGTGCAGCGGAACTTCCTGAAACAAAAGGGAGGATGACACATACAGTATATACACAGATAGTACTCTTCTCTTTATAACCTGCCTCTTAAAGCTGCATTTTGGTGAGTGTTACTGGCAGCAACAACATTTTGAAACATTATTTAGATAATGATGGTTTGCATATATATATTTGAGTGAGTCTGACTTGAGATGCACTTACTCTGTGGCTGTAGCCACACCCACAGGAAGGACTTGACTGCTTATTCAATGGCACACACCTGAGTTAGCTTGGTACTTCTGTACCTAATGATAGGTCAGTTTTAAAGTGCTGTACTTTTGCTAAATGTAATAAGGACAAATATTTCTAAAAGAGAGCATTGTACTGTTTTGTGAGTCCTTGGACATAAAAGATGTGTGTGTGTGCGTGTGGCCTAGTATTTCTCTTGCTGTGTGGATGTAAATCTGGTTACACAATCATATTGTGGGGACTTGTTTCCCTTTTATTGCCCTCTGACTATGTGTATCTAGAACAATTTGTGCTGCTCTGGGCTTACCTGAAGGCTGTGAACACCACTATGGCTGTAATCAGGGAGATAAGTGAGGTGGCATAGCCTACAGTGTAAACCTGTCTGAACGTGGAGAGGTAACTTGTCTGGAGATAGAGAAAAAGAGAGTTGAAAAAGGCAGACAGAGTGTGAGCATATTGTGATGCTGTCAACTATAATATGAATAGGAAATGGTTTGAGTTCTCAAATGTCACACATGTCTGAAACTCCATGACTGAGATCGATATAACACGTGTGTGCTTCCCTTATTGCGCATACGACTAATCAATAAAATAATGTTTCTAAACTGTTTACATTTATTCATGGAACAAGTATCACTAATGTTTTTGTCCTTGCACTAAACCCAGAAATGGGTACCAGCTGAAAAGCAAACAGCGAGAGAAGAAGAGTGGACAGGAAACAGAACCAATATTAATATGCTTAACTGATTGGCATGATTACAGCAACATGTCTGTATACCTCAGATTCAGGCTCGCCATCATCACTGAAAACACAGGCTTCCTCATAGGGTGGATACATTTCTGACCAACCATCAATAGTGCAGTTCCTGTAAACATACCCTGAGGTGGAAGCAAACCACAAGGAGAAAAGGAGAAAGTCAGCTTTGAGCAATATGGGCTTTATCTCAACAAAGAGATGCAAAACAACAGCAGAGAGGTGCAAAATGACCACAAAGAGATGCAAAACAACCAAACAGAGATGCAAATACTACCCACATCCTTGCTTCTTTAGATCCCTGTTGCTTTCTGAAAATTTCCATTAATTGTCATTACCTATCCAGCCACCAGATGTCCCTGGACTTTCCCTCCATACCCAGGTCTCTTGTCAGTTCTGTCAGCTTGGTGTGTGGATGTTTTTCATCAGCTTCTTTGTTCTCTGTGGACTTGTGTATCTTTCCTGATGCCTGTTTTGGAGCTTCTGTTGTTTATGGACTTTGTCTTTGCCTGCTTCTTTTGCCTGTGTTGCTTGTCTATGACCTCCATGCCTTGTCCTTCTGGATTTGTTTGCCTGGATTGTCAGAAAAATGGTTCACTTTTTTCTTTAAGTGACCTCACTGCACTCGCCTTTCTGCCTATCTCTATTTGGATCTCCCATCCTGCTGACCCATACACACATCCGTGACACCAAATTATCACAAAAAGACACAAAACTGACTAAAATGCTTGTCCTCCTGTTTTGCTCATATGTAGGAGGGTTGAGGAGCCCTTCACATATCTGTACCAAGGGGCCCATTGTCCTATAATCTATCCATGCTTGGACATCATTGACCCATGTTTTGCCTAATCTTCTGTGTAATTAAATGCTGCTGAAAGATCCAGGGTTAAATTCAAACATCCCAAATGTGTTTGTGTCTTATTCTTCTGCTTCAGGGAACAAGAGTTATCATCATAATTTCATTTATCTGTTTCTCAATTGTACTGATACACTGAAGCATAAATCACCAAAGCCTCTTTACAACAGTTTAATAGACATAGCAGGTGCAATTCTTTTTCATCTCTTAGGGGTTAAACCTGCATTAACAGATGTTTAGGGACATTGGAAACAAGTTGTGAAAATGCAGACGTGATCATCTTTGTTAAACAGCATACAGTGTTATAAAATATTAGGTAAAGGATGTGATTATTTACTGTTTCCTCTACTGTTGTTTTGTCTCCAATCTAACAATAGATGTTAGTCTGTATGCTTATAGTTTAATATTCCAGTAGTTTGAATGTCTGTGCCTGCCACACACAGTGGCCTCACAATCTTTAACTATTTCAAAATTTGACTATTGTAATTCTGGTTAAGCTTTAATAATTGACTACATTTCATGTTTAGTATTGTGCATAAGAAATTGTATTGTGAAAGTCTGACCTATAAAATCAAATTGATCTGCACTACAGTGAATACAAAACCCTATGCGTTTGTGTTTACATGACCACAGTTTGAATTTCTCCTTTTTACCTTTTTCACAATGTCAGCCCATCTTCAAATTTTCATGCTGTAGCTACAGTGTCAAAGTTTCTGTATGCTTGAATATCAGCACATTTGAACGGGTGCACTGACATTTTATTTCTTTGGCCATTTGACTCCATTTGTGCTTTGAGTCAGACAGCCCTCAATGCTTTCATGTCATCATTCAAGTTTTCTGACATTTACAGCATTTGTAATAAGCTGGATGGTTTACTGCACCACTGTACTTGTGGCTTGTACACTAAATGTGTATGCCAGAGATAACACATGCAGGAATTAACTGGACCGTTGTGCCTTTTTTGACACAGTGATTCATGGCAGGGGATGTTTTTTCCTCTATTCCCTTTGAACTGAGCAAACAGGAGTCCAGATGCTGGCAGCTGCTGCTGCACTGGAAGTCAAGACTCTGGTTTGTTTTGGTGCAGTTCAGATAATGGTAATGTATTTGTTTGCTCCAAAAAAAAAAACCATTTCTGAACATTACATTATCTCTAAATATAATACACTTTTACTCTCATGTAGAGATGTGTTCTTATTATAACAATGAACATGTCTCTCATGGTGTCATCAGCCTTATTTTTCTGGAAAAAAATCCCACAGCAGTCTAAGAGGATATCAGACTGTGACATATGAACCCTGCAGACAAGATTTAACATAATTTCTTTTGCCAGAAATCTCCCAGAGCATATATAGATATACATAATGAAATGTTCTCTTTCATCAGAGTGACTCCAGCCTATAAAAAGCTCTGCAGATTATACAGTACAGAAAATTATACTTAGTAGCGAAGTGATACTGCACCAGCAGAAAATAAGACTTACTGTATTTAATAATTAATTGATCTTGTTTGTGGCATTGTGGTTAACATGCAGACAAACCTTGATTGCTGGAGAAATGCTGGAAGACCTGGGAGCAGGACACATTGACCACCTTCCCGACGTCAGCTCTCAGCCAGCATCCGATTTCATCCCACTCTGTTTTACATCCTGCAAGCATAAAGGGAGGAGGGCAAGCCAGTCAGTTAAGTTTCTCAGGCTTCTTGTCACCAAGATTTAATTAGTTTCATAGCACTAAAAATGACTCCCCACCCAGAAGAGGAAGGAAAGGGAGAAAAAATGAAGGGGATTAAAAGCTAGGTCGAACTAACAGTGAGGTAGCTCCCTCTCAGGTGCAGTAACTCTTCAAATGGTGATACAATAATGCTATGGATTGCATCAACAATATATTAAAATTAGACTTTTCGTGGGGACTCTGCTGTCCTGCCCCTGTTACTTTCTCCTGGCCCTGCTTTATAAATTGCAACTTCACAAGCCCCAGCTCATCGCCACCTCCAGTTATCACTGTTAGTATTATTAATATTATAATAATTGTTCATTTCATTTTTTACTTTCTTGAAACAGTTTAAAAACACCTCAGCACTACATCTTCCAAAATGATCATTTGGTTAATTCAGTACCTCTCTGTATTAGGTTTAATTCATAATAAGCTGACAACTGGGCATGTGTGTCAGGAAACATAATTTTTGACCACATTTCAGTGTATTTTGTTCAGCTCATTTGTTATTCTGATGGCCTTTAATTTTTGAACATATTTTTAGTTTCATTGTCATATCAGCCCTTTATTTTGTTCAGCAGTGGTAGAGTTGGTGTTATCACATGAAAAATCCATTTAATAATGGGCACTCTGTTACTGCCTGCATGATGTTTTGTGGTATTTAGTTCCCCTCCCTTCATGCTTTCAGTCAGTCCTGTGTCATGACGTTAATATCCGCCGACTAGCTCTGTCTGCCAGACTGAAGCTGCCATACATGTCTCCAGAAGGCAGTACATCAACATGAAATTGAGAGCCATCATCCAGTTCTCTCAGTTCTCCATGGCTCAGACTGTGAAGATTATGGGACAAACCCTGCAATTCTTTTATGTTTTCCTGAAATAGAATTGTGTTTGTGGTGTGGCTGTATGGATAGCAATGCCAGTCAGTCAGTCTACTGTGCCACCTTGTTGCTAGGAATAAATGTCTTGACTACATGTATAATTAGTAGGACAGTAGTAGCAAGAATGAAGATCGATCACAGCAAAGATTTTGTCTTCATTTATCCCTAAGGCTCAAATGAGACCAAAACAAATGTCAAAGATATGTTTTCAGCTGGAAATCTTGTTTCTGAAAAAAGTTGACACTCCTCAGACACTGTAGGTTTCCAAGAATATAAAACTGTTTCAAAATGTCAGAGGTGACTCCTGACTAAAACATAAACACACCCTGCCTGTACGGGAAATTAGGATTCTTACTCTTCACTCAGCAAGATGCTGGTAAAAATTGTTTCGTGGCTGATGTTAATTTCATGTCATTTATTCATCCATGTGTTTCTGACCACAAATTTTAACCTGGTAGAGGCTCTACAGGAAAAGTCAGGGGATCAAGAGAATCATCAGGATGCATCCTCCAGGGACCATGAATATTTGTAAAAAATTTGATGTCTATCCATCAAATAGTTGAAACCAAAGTGGTAAACTTTTTGAACATCCCTAGAGCCACATCACTAGTCCAGCTAACAATCAAATAATGTAATGTTGATAATGTAATTCGGTTTTTAGCTTACTTAACATAATAGTGATAATTGATTAATTGTGAATTATCCACTTATTGGACCTGTTCTTTAATCAGCTATCCTTAAAAATGAATTAAAATCCAAACTGAGTACAAAAACAGAGCTGATCCCATCCCCTGTAGCCGCTGATATTAATCTGTGTCATATTGAAGAAAATCACCAGACAGAGCAGTGATTTACAGGCAGCAATCTGTCTGTGTGGAATATCAATTTCCTCTCTGTGCCTCATTTCATGTGTACAATACCAGTGTATTGAATCCATTGTCCACTCCTTCTTCTGCGTTTTCCTATTTCACAAAACCAATTACTTTTTCCAAATCAGGCAATCTGGTGAAAATGATGTCACCTTCAATGTAACTCTGAGGAGCAAAAGTGGGACAGCAGTGTGCAATAATTTATGGAGAACCTGGGATTTGAGTGAGTCATCTCGGCATCTCCTCTGCTGCTGTGACGCTGACTCGGAGCAATATTCCTGGAGCCGAGGATCCAGAAGGAGCAGCAGGTATTGTGTTGAAATGTACTTTCTAACAACTCATGGATTTTTTTGTTCAATGAGTTGTTGTTTCAGTGGTGGCATTATGAATTGTAGGGGCTTTTACACAGCACGTTATCAATCACACAACAACAGTGAATGTTTCTGGACTCATCTCTTACTATTTGATTGTGCACAAAGTATTCACCCACACTAAACTATAGGTCAAAGTTTTAACTGACCTTCCCACATGGCCCTGTGTTTGAGCCATCAGCACAATGTGAGTGGTAATGATGTTCCTGAAATATCGTGCTTGCAAAAATGGGACAGTGACCTTTGACCACCAAAATCAAATCAAGTTCATGTTTGAGTCCAAGTCAACTTTTATGTCATATTGAAGAAAATCACCAGTGCTGAGTCAAAAGAAAATTGTTTAGGGGACCAGAGCAGTGTGAAATTAAAGTATAAAATATTTACAGATATACAAGTTCCCTGGAAGGTTTGTACAGTATCAGCATTTTCTGCACCAGACATGTTATAGCAGAGAATGCACAAATGTAATTAATAACATAAATAATGACTGTATTAGTTTATTGTTAAGGTTTATCAGAACCTGGACACTTGCCAATAATACACAATTAAATGCCAGAGATTGGGAGAGCATTCATATGGAAGCTGGGTATACGAGTTACATAATGTTTACTCGTTATTTGGCCCCAAAGATATATATCTGCAAAGATAAAATATCTGCTGTGAAAAGATTTGATTCCTGTCATCCTTAGAGGGCAGGCATGTCTGGACTAAGCCAGCTAATTATAAAAATGCATCTTGTCCTCTCTGTGTTGTGGGCTAAGCCACAATTACCCTCCCCCCAAACCGGACCCCTGTCATCTTATTGCTGTGGGAGGAAATCCAGGAGATTAAAACGTTATGAAGCAAAGACTATTTACTGGATTTTTAAGGACTAAATAGCTGCTGTGATATAAGGGGTATCGGGGGTTTTATTCTACAGTGTTTCCTATTTCACTGTGATAATTGCCAGAATTGGATCATGTTGGCCTCAAATTAGGTGACAGAAGAAGCATCTTTGAAAAACAGACGCAACTACCCAACAGTTTTCAGAGAGACAGAGGCAGGTTTATGGACACTTTGTTGGGAATACTAAACAACACAGCAGCAGTAATGACACTAAAGAATAGGAGAGCCAAAGGAAGCCTTGATTTAATTATTGAACTTCGGGTGTTTCTTCAGCTACATTTTATTCGGCAGGTTGTCAGAGTTAATTTGTGTCATCTTACAGTGGAGAGCAACAAAGCAGCAGATAAATTCAATAAAAGTTAGAAAGTTGTAGCATCATCAGAAAGTTCTGCTGTCAAGGTGCATTCTTTGCCATGAACTGACACATTAGATGTTTCACACAGAGAGTACAGTAGTCAGGATGTCAATCTGGGACGTATATGTAATAAAATTGCCAGTTTTCTGGAAAGTTGACATACACTGACAGGAGGAATTAGGACAGCAGCATTCAGTACCCTGACACATTGACACTATGTGGGCTTACATGGAAAAAAATGGCTGTGGGTGTTTTAAAGTGCATAATTTGCAGCCTCTGTGTATTATTCCTACATTGACAAGGACAAAGCTGGGTAGTTTTGGGTTTTGGATAGTTTTTATTTGTTTGTTTTTTTAAACTCAGTTTGTTACTTCACATGGGCAATGTTAAAACTATGTGGACAGTTTTGTTCTTCAAACTGATGCTGGATTGCAGCATCAGTTGCAAAAGCTCTGCCCTGTCGGGAAAGTGTAAGATGACGATTTATAGATTTTTAGCAAGGCCAACCTCTTGGTCAGTCCACTGTTGAATGGATTAGCATTATTTGGTACAGACATTCATGGTCATGGTAGTTTCTAATTACTCTCATCATTTTTTCACTTCCAACTCAATCAACTGACTCAGGGCATGTACAACTTCAGTTGAACCAATTACATTTTGCCACGACATTTGTTAGCCAGTCATCGTGTTGCTGTAAACCATCTACTCTGTGTGAGACTGATGCAACTGTCTTCTACCCCATTCATCCTCAGGTTTCATCAGAACTGGCTTCCATGGGACCCTCCACAACACATCAAACACATTCAGACAATCTGGCCAGTGGTGCCGAGATGAGAATTTAACTATATTCTCTTTTTTTTTCATTTGTTACTGGAGTACTGCCATCTTTCATGTGTACAACCACCTGGAAACAATGAATGTCTTGCAGGTGAGATTGTTTAAAAATATGTTATGCCCAATTTAAATGATATTGTGTCTCCCACTCTCTATGACAGCTGGTTTTTCACTCCACTTCAGCTTCAAGTGAAGCTGTTTGGAGCTACAAACTTTCTGATGTGGTCAGACGAGACATCGTACAGATTACTTCTCTTCTAGGATTTAGCCGTTAGTGCTGTCATAGTGTGAGCATGTTACAGTAGCATGCTGATGTTAGCAGCCTTACAGAGCTGATAGTGTAGCTGCAGACTCTTCATCCTGTTTCCTCTTGTTTTGATGTTTCATTGTGGACAGAGAGCTTTTGAAAAACTACACTGCTTTTTTACTGAACCTGAAGCCAAGTCATAAGTTATCTAAGATGTTTTCTTCACCCTGTTTGTTGGATTGCTCTTAAGGATGAGATTGTTTCCTAGTGCAAATTAAAGTTTTATCATGTGGCATGTGGTGGAATAATATTCCCTTATTGGAGTTCCCTTTTCTAGATAATTCAATTCAGATCTCTTGATTTGAGGCCCAGATCTACAGACAGAATGATATGATAACTGTGCTGCATTGATTGCAAAAAGATTAGCTTCAGATTAGACACACCAAAGAAAAGAGCAAATAATATGTATTAAAAGAAACATTTGTCCTCATTCATCCATGCAACAAACCTCAGTGTGGATGCAGCAAAAAACATTTATGTCTCACTGAAATGGGCATCTTTGTGTAAATTTCAACAAATGTGTGGGTAAAACTGTATTGTTATATTAACAGATGTGTCTGACACATCAGAGGATGTAACCTGACATTAGAGGTTGATGATAAATTTACATTTCCTTTCAAATCAAATTAAAAGGTTTTCTCCCCCCTATAGAGCAGAGATCTATTCTTAGGTCTTTATCAAAAGGCAGCTCCAGATGAAACAATACACTACACTTAGCCAGTTGAATGCCACCTCCTTTAGGATTAACAGTGATGTTCAAAATTACTTTGGACAACGAGTGAGTGCTTCCAGAGCACCGCTGAGGGAGGATGACACCTCCATTTTTTACACAGCATGTCTTCAGTCAAACTCATCCTGGGACGTCAAGTTTTAATTGGATTTTGATGGAAATGCTGGTTTTTAATGTAGATGTGTTTTTTTTCAATGACAGAAATGATATTGTTGCCTTGGAGCTAAATATACTGTATGAGACGTACATTTTGTGCCATGTTTAGACAAACCAAAGAAATACAGATACCCCATACAACTCACAATAATAATACAAAAAGGTTTGCACTTAGCTGCTGAATTCCATTAACATCTTTAGCATTAAACTGCAGCATTTGACTTGATTTTTACCTTTGTGCTAATTGATATGATTTAAATTTCAGAGGATGTTGAGACTTGTGTAATATTAGTGCTTTATGTCATATTAGCAGTAACCAGAACATTCTACTTGACTGACAAATTTACTTGATAGTCAGCTAACACTAGCTTGGGACTGGAAATTGCAGAGTTTGTCGCAACCAGGCATCCGTAGTTTATTTTGTATGTTTACATGTGACAACACTGGTTGCTCGTTCTTCATTCATTCATAATAGCAGTAGCATAGCTGTCACTTCTCACTTACAAGTGTTATACAGAGTAAAAATTATGGTGACAGAAAATAAATAAATAAATAATACATTTAGGTAGAGTAGCTTTAAGATCAAATTGGTCTGGAAATGTTCAAGTTTATCACTCTTACAAAGGGCAGTTGCCAGAGTGTTGTTATTCAAGTGACACATCCCATTATGGAGACGTACAGCCCTCTGGGAAACACCAGGTTCATTAGTTTATAACAAAATCATTAAGTCAGATTGGAAGGACAAGCAGGTGAGGCCTCACCAGGAACAACAACTGCTATGGCTGTGGTGTCAGTAACAGTATCATGTTCATGCACTCTACAGAGTTCAGTCATTTTCCCTGTTCTCAGTATTTTTAAACAGGATGAGATAAGAGAGTATTGATTTCACAAATGGAAACTGTGTCACATACGTTTGTTCTGCCGCTGTAAATTTAGTACCCTCATTTTAAGGTTTCCCTCATTAAACAACTAAAAATCAAGCAGTATTGGCCAAAAAGTCTAGTATCCAAATTCTGTCAGTGATATGTTATTATATCTGTGGGTCAATATTTTTATGCATTAACAAGGAAACGGTTCTTTGTTGCAGTTATTCAATCGGTTAATTTTGACTGTTTAGCAGATCATATTTTATAAACTGATCATATGATTTGCTGGTAAAATGCTAATGTTAAAGGAACTATAGCTGTGAAATAAATATTCTGATAGAATAGAAAGTATTTAAAAAATTCCTCTGAAATGTAATGGAGTACAGAAATATAAAGTAGCATAAATTGCTTGGATAGAAAGTATTTCAATATTGTAAGGTTCTTACACAGGAAATACTCATCCACCACTGCAAATGGATTTCATCTCTCAATGAGGATTTTGTATTTATCTTTATCAAGTTAATTACCCCATCAATATTTGTAGTTATTTGTGTTCAAATAAAACAGTCTCATAGTTTTTGTTTGTATATTCTCATTTATGTGCATCTTGCTGTTGTGCACCCTTTTGCTGTAACAGGTTATCTTCTCTCTGGGATCAATAAATGTTGTCCTATCTTAAGGTCATGTCATAAAGAAGGAAATGTAACAACTACCTATAAAGGTCCTAGAGAGCTATTTGCTTTCCTGGATGCTCAAAACATGCTATTCTAGGATTCATCTCTTGTCTGTGTGCCTTCTACTCCCCAGCCCTTCTCAAAACTCTTTTGTTTGTTTGTTTAGTCCACATTCCTGTCTATTAAAATCCTCTGGCTGTGCACACACACACACAGGTGGAGCTGAGTGGTGGCGTGGCCACCCCCAGAACCTGGAGGGCCACCTGTGGTGCCACGGCTGTCATTCAAAATGTGATGCTTGTCAGTATGAAGGAATGAAAACTAAAAATGGGGGTTTTGATAACTGTGCAGCAGCACCCGCGTAAATAAGGAGCACAACCAAAGTTAGCTAAAGAAAACATGATTTGTGCCCTATTTTCACCAGAAATAAACAGCTTGATTTATAATAATGTATGGTTTAATTTACTTTTTACATGCATTTCAAATGTGCCACCCCTCTTTGAGTCTGTGCCCCCAGCCTGGCCACCCTACCCAAAATTTTCTAGCTCTGCCCCTGTGCACCTGGTCCTTGGTCTCTCAAAGTGAGTGTATGCAGAAACACAAAGCAGCATCAACATACTACCACCACATGAACCCACCGCTGTGCTCGGTCTGATTTTGCGCTTCGCTCCTCCTTGTCTGGCTACAAATCTCCCGCGCCCTCAGATGCTGAGAGATGATGGCGCAGTCCGGGTGCATGGCGTGAGCCTAAAATATGAGACAACTTAGTTATCTACAGCAAAGCAGACACATGCGCTACCACAAGCCGTTGCTCTTCCTCCCATTGTTGCTTGGAGGATTGCGTGAGTCCCGCTGCCCATTTCCACGTTTTCCCACCACCGCTGCATCCAAACAGTGCGTCAAACAAACATCAACAAGCACCTTTAGTTCACGAATCGTCTCTGAAGATAGCCAGACTTTAAGTGGAACAATTCCCTTCAACTTTAAGCTCTTTAAATTGACTGAAGGTCATATTGTTACAGAAACTGTCTTCTGTAAATTCATGCTCAAACCTTGCAGGCATTAAGAAAACATTTGGACCAGTTAAACGCTTGTTAATTAGAGGAGTTTATTAATTTACATTGCTCATTTCAGGCCAGGACCTTGATAGCCGACAGTTAATGCCAGGAGCTTAATGAGGACGTTTCCTGCTCTAAAAAGTCAGAGAATGACAGAGGATGATAATGTGTGGTCGCTATAATTGGTACAGTAGAGCGTTTCCTAAATAGTAGGATTTAGCTTGTAAAATGCAGCAGTAAAGTGTCAACTTTTTTACGTACTTTGAGCTGCTTTTAATCAGTTCATGAATCGAGATAAAGTATTCTGGTCTCAGAACGGAAGATTTAGCAATGGTAAATGAACGAAATAAATATTCCACTCACCATGGGCCTGTAGCAAAGATAAAGATAAAAGATGAGAAGTATGTATTTCTTCTGTCGTCCTAACAGCCCTTTACAATACATTTCTATTGTCTTGTTTGGCTTCTTCTCTCGTCGGTCTGATGATGTCGGCGCAAGTCAGATGGTTTGTTCCTCCGTGCCTCTGAAATACTGACTTCTCGGTATCCTCGGTATGAACACGTATTCTGTCGATCTAAAAAAGATGAATCCCCTTTTCTCTCTGCGAGATGTAAACTTGAGGGGAGGGCTGCTGTTGGCGCACATCTGCGCTCTCTCTCTCTCTCTCTCTCAGTGCAAAATCAAGTGAATAAATGTCTTGAATAAATGGCACCAAACCAGTTATTGGTTTGAGGTGAAGGATCACACAGAACTGGATTAAATATATCGATGCGTTATTGTAAAATGTATTTATTGTTGATTGTAGTTTGTAATAATCTAAATCTACAAAGTAACTAACACTGCTAAACAAATGTAAATGAAATGTAGTCTACCGTAACATAAAAAGAAAATACAGAAGTTGAATAGTACTTCAGTCCAGTTCCACTACTGGCAACTCTCCAGATTTAATCCCAGGGTCACTGCTGTAGTTTGATTAGGTGGAAAATTGTTTGCGTATTTGCATCATTAAAGTAGGCTACAATCAATTCAGCAGTCAGTCGACAGAAAAAAATAGTCATCAATTTTGGATGATAATTTATTCATTAAAGTCTTCTCTCAAGACAAATGTGATGGTTCAAGTGCATGTCTTATAGTCTTATAAACTTTTAGCTCTGTGAACTTGTAATGAATAGATAGGAAATGGTTGGCAAATTAATAAATCATAGAAATATTAGTTTGCTGCAGCGCATTTATCATAGAAGGCGGGAAAAGGGCAAGCGAAGTAAAAGATCTGATCTGAACTCATCTCTGTATTCCATTATTAGCACTGAAGACCACACTGGTCTGGTCATCACTGTGTGCACATTCTCAAAGTTAAAATGTATAGTGAGGGAAAACAGCAATGGTCTGTGAATAAAAAGGGAAAATAAGGAACTGGGCGCAAATTTCTTAAAAAAATAGAATGAGCAAAGGCAGACCATACTTTTTCAAAAATCATTTAGGCATAAAAATATACGATAAAGAATATGAAAGACTGAATATGGGTCAGGGCAGAGCCTAAAACAGCCAAACCCTTCCCTACAGAATAGGTTCCCAAGCAGAAGGGGGCCAGCAGCTTGGAACCTTCTTGCTGTGAGGCGACAGTGCTAAACACTGTACCACCGCCCCTGTCACAACGCTATAACATGACGTAAACAACCTGTTAATTTTGTCCAGATTTATTCTAAAAGATTCGGTGACAACAGCCTCTTTGTCAGACTGGAAAGACATAGGATTAAACAACATTGCATCGTTGTTCAAAATAAATAAAAAATTGCAGCTCACAGTTAACTGACGGCCACTTTGAATCATGGGAAATGAAGTCTTTGCCAAAGTGGATCATACCAACTCTTGTGTACCGATGTGACAAGTGGCGAAAACACTGATTACCTTAAAGCATCAGTTTTTCTATCGAGTGGCTTATTTCCTGAGAGTTTTATATTTCTCGTAAACGTTAAACAAACGCGAAAATGACCGTTAAAATCGTCGTAAAATGTACATTCCTCCCGCAGTCACCGAATAATACTGGCGGTCCATTAGTGGCAGTTCTCTTTCACTGTCGGATTACAGCCGAGGCTGTACGTAAAGAATCTGTTACCGAGCCATAAAACAGCGAATAAAACCAGTAGTAAGTATATTTAAGTTTTATTTTTGCGACCTGGAGCATTACAAAAATGTAACTGTTTGTAAAAGCTGTGAGCTATTTTGAATTAAGAGTTTTTAAACGCCACGTGGTCAACTAAACTACTTGGGTTGTCAAAAACTTTAGCTAGTGTCAGCATTGGTGGCATCGGATAAAATATTACCGATGAAACACCCGTCATTACTGTAACTTTACATGTGCTGTTTGCCGGTGTTGTGAGTGGTGTCATACATGAATTGCCAACTTCTTTCAATGAATGTGAAGTCAGTTTTTTTCCCTCCCATTTAACTAGCATTCCTCTAGCATGCAGTAAATTGAAGTTCAGTATGGTTTCTTTCTCCAGAATGGGAAGCTTTATTCTGTTAATGAGAATTTTATTGTTGTCTTTTATTTCTCTGTTGTGCTTTAGCTCTCCATTCAGCAAGGGTGAGTGTTGGAGCTGATGGCTACCACACGCCTTTATTTAAAGCTTTTTTGCGGTATAGTGAAAGTATTTAACTATAGCTATTTATTAGGAACACCTGTCTAAAACTAACGCAGACTAATAAAACAGATCTACATCAAATTCTACCTTCATGAAGTTTAAATAAGGCGAAAAGTAAGTGATTAGCCATTTATCAAAATAGTTGACACTACCACAAACTAAGCCTCCAGAATAACCAACCAGTTCCTCTCTAATAACAGTTCAGTATGAAGGGATGATGTATTGCATGCTGCATTAGTTTTAGTAAGTGGTACCTAATAAACTAGCAGCCGAGAATTTATTTGCTTGCTAACAGTGTGATAAGCAATGCACCACTCACGTTTGCAAGTTATTTTGTGTACTATCAAGTTGACATTTATTTCATATGTGAAATGTAACTAGTCAAGTGTCTTTGGCTGTGATGTTTGCCTGCATGATTAAAGGCAGTGCTACCAGACAGTTGGAACATTTATTTTCAATATAGTCTACTATAACAGACTATTTTTATTTGCAAACTAAATAGAACAATTTAAATATTCCATTCCACACTAGGTAGCACACATTATCCTCTAGCATGCTGAAACAATGGTTAGCAGGTTGCTGTTCACAGGTTGGGTTTATAGATGTCTCAAAAGAATCTTGTCTTGTCATGTTTAAAGCATGAACCTAGTGTTTGCTCATTAACTACACACATCTTTGGCTGAAAGAACATTGTGGGGTGTAAGTCACCCTGTGTGTTTTGAGTTGAGACTACAATGTTTAAGCTGTTTCTATTTCTCTAAAATTATTTAAACTACATCTGTTTTTTGATTAGAAATTCATATTGAGGAAACACTGCAAACATTCTAACTTGTTGGCCATTTTGTCATTTGTGTTACCCACATTACATTTTTCCTTGTTTTGTTTTTGCTTTGCTTTTTGTAAGTACAGTGTGAGATTGATCAGTGAACTGTTGGTAATGGACATTTTCTGGAAAAGAAATGAGGCTTTTCGATCAATTTCTAGTGTGTTAGCTTTCATCTTTTGATGCCAATATTACATTGAACTAATGGTTCTAGCCTCCACCTGTTGCTTCTTTTCTCTTTTTATGAACTTGACACACAAGTGAATAGAGAAGGCATCTTTGCAATAGAGAAATGGATCAGTCTGGCCCAAACCATCAGCAAAAAGTAGCCCCCCAAAATGCTGTACCAGTGGGGGCCTTCAGGCAGAGCAGTGTGCCCACTCTGGAGAGAGGCATCACCAGTGGAGACAATGTCCAGTTTGGGAGGCCGTGGCAGCGCACATGTTTGCCCAAGTCAGAGAGCCAGAGCTCTGGGGCTGAAGAGGAGCGGTTGAGTTCCTCTATGGAGGCAAGCAACCCCTACGGTAAAAGCCCCGTCCTTCAGAGCATGCATGCAGAGGGAGTCTGGTACAACCGCAGTGCCTATGAGCAGGCCGAAAGCAACTACCAGCGCTGGTTTGCTTCCGATGGCAGTCCACTGCTGTCGATCTCTCCTAGGAGCCCAAACACCAGAGGCTCCTTAACCTTCCATTCTAGAGCCACTCGCAATGAGCAGCAAGATCAGGGGTACCCTGTCAGCACCGTGAAGTCCTCTGGCACCCGCCATCCTCAGTACAGTAGAAACAGGAATCGCACCACCTCCGAGACTGATCAAAGGGCCAAAGGCAGCAGGGGGCTGGCCCAGAGGAAGAGAGGCCTCTCAGAGACAGAAAGCAGGCCCAGATGGGACAAGTATGACACCTCTCACACAGAGAATGGGGCAGATGTGTGCATCCAGTGTTTAACCATAATATTTTTATTTGTCTGACTGCATTTTTGTTTGGCTTTTGTCTACTGTGCTAACTTATGTATTTGTAATATTTTTCATATGCAGGGTCACAGAAATTGGATTTTTTTTTCTTTTTTGTTTAGGCTGAGAAAAAGTACCCTCATTCCATTTAAGTGAGGTCAGTGTAATAATGCAGAGTGCTTCAGCATAAAAGCTGAATCTCACTAATCTTCACCACAGTACAGCACAGCATCATCTATCAAGGTGCATTCAGTTAAGTGCACTCTCCTGGTAGATAACTTTGTATTAAGTTTGCTGTTTATCTTGCGATCATCAGGCCAAACCATAAGAGGATTTTCATCAAGAACTCTGATCACCACAGTTGTAAAATCTAGTTTCTGTAGGCAGGCAATGGACTACCTTTTGTTCTGTAACCCAGACCTTGCAGACCAGACAAGTCTGTTTCACCGTCTCATGAAGGTGTAGATTCCTGTCTGCTGCTGTAGCCATTAGCAATATGAGAAGGTGAGGTGAAACATCAGTGCAATAAGTAGTTTTCCTTTTTTACTTTACAAAATGTCACCTCAGTTATTCTCATGTCGATATGTTGGTTGTGTATGCAATGGGAAATGTCTGTTGTGCTGTCATTTTGTCCCCCTATTCCACTCACAACGCTAACTTTGGCTGTGCACATTGCGGCCTGTAATATAGTAGCGTCATCATGGTCAAGCATATAATTAATCCAAGTTCTGTCACTTCTTCCCTGTTTAATGATGGTGCTGGCTGTGACAACTAAACACCCGGTCGTGACTGTTAATCAATACAATAGTGATCATTGTTTGTGTTGTCTAATTTCTCCTGACTTCCTCTCATTCCCTCCTCAGTATCAATATGAGTGGACTGCAGTGCCTTGCCACAGAGAACATCTGGTTTGACAAACGCCGCTACGATGAGGCGGAGAAGTGCTTCTATGAGGGAGTCAATGGCCCCTCTATACAACAGCAACAGGTAAATCAAACAATCTTTCCTCTTGACTCATATTTGCACCCCCAGAGTAAAAATTGTATATCAATCTAAGGAATAAGAACTTAGACAAGTGTTTATTTCCAGTCCCTCAAGTGTGACATTTCCTCTGTGTCTGTTGGATCCTGCTTGACACTTCCTCTGCTCATGCTTTCTGTTAGCAGCTGCACAGCACCCTGTCAGTCACTGGCCTGTGGGTTTAAGCAATAGTTGCATCATCATTGGTCACAGTGCTTGGTAGCCCAGAGCAGCTGTGTGCATGTGAGTTAAGCCACTCGATTTAGAAGTGGCCTGTCCTAGTGAGAGGGGTCATGTAGTTTGGCAGCTGTCTCTGCTTCTCAGGTTGCCCAGGGCTGCAGCAGCAGCTTAGAAGAGATTCTATACAGGCCTGGGAAACAATAAACAGGGTGCTTCTACTAAATACTGAGCAAAGGGTCTGAATACTTATGACCATGTGATATTTCAGTTTTTCTTTTTTAATAAATCTGCAAAAATGTCAAAAATTCTGTGTTTTTCTGTCAATATGGGGTGCTGTGTGTACATTAATGAGGAAAAAAATGAACTTAAATGATTTTAGCATATGGCTGCAATATAACAAAGAGTGAAAATTTTAAGGGGGTCTGAATACTTTCTGTACCCACTATACTCCAAAACTTGTCTTAATGTTGAGTTAATGCTGCCAAAACCTCCTGTGACCCAGACTCATTGAACAGCACTGGCAGCAGTTCAGAAATATTAGCTGCTAAAAGATTTTGAGCAAGATTGACTTCTCTAACCAATCAGAAATGTTCACATATTTATGCTTGATCAGTAAGTTTTGTTACATTCTGACTTCATGTATTTTCTAACGACATATCTGAAGCGCTGGGCAGAGCGTGATGGAGTATAGTTGACTGTAGTAGAGTATAGTGGAGCGGGAGTGCTGGGAGGAGGAGAGTGGATTGTTTTGGAGCTTCATGCTAGTGCTTCCTTACGTTACATATTGTAGCTTTGACATCAATTTGTCATTTTAATGACTGCTCTGATGATGCATCTGACTTTCTACCTACAACTACTACGTTTTCTTCTTATCTTCATGTTTCCCTCCCTTACATTAACTTGTACATCACGGGGTGTAGGTGAAAACGGCCCTGCAGCAGGCCAAAGGGTACCACAAGAAACGACAGCACAGAAATGTAAGTCGTCCGGCGTTAGTGTGCTCAGGCCTGCGAAAGCTGCATGGTTGAGATGCATAGCCGGATGTGATTAGCAAGTACTGTTGAAATCATAGAACAAGGAAACCCAAATTTATTTATATAGCTTATAAATTTATATTTATATACACTTAAGGTAAGTGCTTATCACAAGTTGTATCTACCCTCAGCCTAGCACAGAGACTGGAAATCGGGAAACAGCTTGTCTAGCTCTGCAGGTAAATGTCAAAAAAATCCACCCACCAGCACTTAAACCAACATGTTACTATCATGTTATCACATACAAAAGCCAAAGTGAGGTTTTTTTTTTTTCTTCAGGCTAGCTGTTTCCCGTCTTCAATCTGTATGCTAAGCAGGCTGTAAGCAAATACCTTTTACAAAAATGTTGTAATATTACTTTAAATCATGATTAGTTATGGGGGAGGCGAGATTTCCTCATCAAATTGTTGCTTTGTTTAAAAAAAAAAAGTTAACTGCATGCTGACATTAAATATTCTTACTAGGGATAGAGGGAGTTCATTTTAGCATCAGCACTGAATGTGAAGTGCTTAGAAATCATTGCTGTGAAAGAGATTTAGGCCTTGCATGGATTTCTTTTTAAACCTCACCACTGGACTTTTTTTTTTTCTTTTTGGCTTGCTTCTTCACTTCAGACTTGGATTGGATCTTGACCTGGATGATGGCACACCTGCACTGTTTCCATGTGAACCCTCTCCTCCAGTATGACATTTGCTGATTAATTTGTGTTGTTGATCTTCCCACAGTCATCCTCACATGCAGGAGGAGACCAGGAGCTGGTTTCTCGCATGAAGAGCCTAGAACATGAGAACCAGACTCTGCACAAAGGTGTGTCTGTGTACTGAGTTCTTCTCAACGTTTGCTCACGTTATGGTTTTGGAGTATTCATATATAACCATTGTGTGTTGTTAGTTGTGGAGGATTTGAGAGCAGCTCTGCAGAAGCTGGAGTCCAGAGTGGCTGTGCTGGAAAAGCACCCCGCACCAGCAGCTGTCCCGTGTGCAAAGGTAGATAAGATTTTATTAGATACAGTATGTTTTACATATCAGATCACTGCATCAGTTAAACATATGACTGAAAGAGGCAACACACCCTCGTCTCTCTGGAACAATTAGAAATGGGAAATAAAGCCATCTATTTTGTTATATGTATGAGGAGTCAATTGGCAGACCATCATTTAGAGTGCTAAATAACGTGCTTTTTTTTAAAAAATCGCTTCTTGATTGACATTTATGATACTTGTTTGAATTATTTCACACTGGGGAAGACTTTGTGTAAGCCATTTGCCTTCCTTCCTTTCCTGGTGTTCCACCACCAAATGGAAATGATAAAAAAAAAGCAGAAACCTTACTGGGTAAAGACCCTCTGAACTGCTCACTGTTTTCCTTCCCCTTTCCATTGCATTAAAGCAGGCTGCTCCAGTCCAGACTGCTCCAGTCAAACAGGTAAAAGTGGAAAATGGTGACGACGATGATGACATTGACTTGTTTGGCAGTGATGATGATGATGAAGAAGATGAGGAACTAGCACGCATCAAGCAGGAGCGCCTGGATGCCTATGCTGCCAGGAAGGCCAATAAACCCACCCTCATTGCTAAGTCATCAATCCTCTTGGATGTCAAGCCGGTATGTTTAAGTAACACCCAAACTGTATCATTAAGTTAGGGAAAAGGATTATCTTATCTAGGAAAGAAAAAGTTTAATTGTAATGATAAATGGTAATGTTATCTTTTAAATAATTCAGCCAAACTGCATATGTCAACTAGTTCAACATGTCACACTGTGTTTTTATGGCCTTGTCACATTGTTTCTCTCTCTCCTGTGCTGCTGTCTTTGTGAAGTGGGACGATGAGACAGATATGGCGAAGCTGGAGGAGTGTGTGCGCTCTGTGCAGATGGATGGGCTCCTGTGGGGAGCATCCAAGCTGGTGCCCGTGGGCTATGGCATCAAGAAGCTGCAGATCAACTGCGTCGTTGAGGACGATAAAGTTGGTACTGACATCTTGGAGGAGGAGATTACGAAGTTTGAGGAGTTTGTAAGTAACAGTTACTTCAGTGTAATTTCAAAGTCCATTCACTCTGATCAGAAAACTTTAAATGAAAGTTTAAAATTTTCTGACTTTTCTCTAGTACACTGGAGTTGAATGGGATTTCTTTTATTGTGCTCACAGCACTATAAAAGAAATTTAAAGGTTCAACAGCAACATCTCTCTCTCTAGAATTGATGTAGGTAGTATTGTTAAGCCATTTTCCCATTACACAAATAATGAGGATGTGGTTATTAGTCAGCATATACACGCATATCTGATTTCTCCCCTGCCTCAACTCTTATTATGGAAGCATGGCTTAAGACTTGTTCAGTGGTGTAAACTGACTTTTACATTTAGAGGCTAATCTGTGTTTTCAGTCCAACTTCAGGTCAAAATATTTAGCTTGCTTCATTATAATCTCTACTACATTCTGTCCAAAGTTTTCACCATGCAGCTGTGTACATATAAAAATCCTTACCCTGATGTGGCCTGGGAGAAATCAGGTGCCCTCATTACAGAAACCAGTTGGCTTGAATACATGACATTTGAGATATCCGTTTTCATTGTCCTACTTAAAGAAAACTGTTGCTACGCAAGATGTTGAACCTTTAAGGCATTTCCCCATTGCTGTGAGCACCACAGTCAGTGGCGTTAACCACAAAGCTATCCGGCTACTGGATAGACACACATTTAGAACTTTTACTGGTTTCTGCTTTTGGTTAATGCAGCTTAGCAAGGGAAAAGGGGTGAGGCACACATTTTAATTGAACATGGTACCACTCGAACTGTAACAGTGTATTGGCGACTCTTTGGAACAGCAGTAGCGTGGGATCTCAGTGTAAAAACGACTGAAGTTATCCTTTAAGCTCACTGGCTGCTAGTAGCCTTACATTTAATGAATAGATGTGAATGGCATTGGTTGTCTTATCTCCACCAGAATATAATCATATTCCCAGAACCTGTTGTAAAAGGAAAATATATAGTATGTACAGTGGCAAGAAAAAGTATGTGAACCTTTTGGAATTTCATGGTTTTCTGCATTAATTTGTCATAAAATGTGATCTGACCTTCTAAGTCGAGTACTGATGAATATAATGTGCCTAATACAACAACCATAAAAACCTCAGTGCTAGTGGAAAAAATGTGAACCCTTGAGTTAATGACCTCAAAAAAAAAAAAAAAGCTAATTGTAGTCAGGTGTTAGCATACCTGGAGTCTTGTTAAGAAAATGAGTTGGGAGGTGTGGACCAGAGCTACTTTGATTAAAAACCACTCAAACCTTTTGAGTTTGCTCCACACAAGAATATGCTTATGTGAGCCATGCCTCGCCAACAAGAGCTTTCAGAGGATCTATGATCAAGAATTGATTTACATAAAGCTGGAAAGGGTTATAAAGTGACTTCAAAAATTCACCAGTATACAGTTAGGCAAACGATCTACAAATGGAGACACTTTGGGACTGTGGCTACTCTACCAAGAAGTTGGCACCCAGTCAATATGACCCCAAGAGCACAATAAAGACTCAGTGAGGTAAAGAAACAACCCCGAGTGACAGCCAAAGATTTGAAGGCATCATTGGAACTGGATAACATCTGTGTTGAGTCTACAGTACAAAACATTGAACAAGCAGGGTGTAGGCTTTTTTGAGGTCATTAACTCAAGGGTTCACATACTTTTTCCACTAGCACTATGAGGTTTTTATGGTTTTCTCAATAAAAACATGAAAGATCAGAATGTGTGTTATATTAGGCACATTATATTCATCAGTACTCGACTTAGATGATCAGATCACATTTTATGACAAATTAATGCAGAAAACCATGAAATTCCAAAAGGGTCATACTTTTTCTTGCCACTGTATGTGTGTAAATAAATAGTCTAAGCTTCAAATTTACATTAATGTACAATGATTATAAATATATACCTTTACTTGTGTTTCTTCCTCGGCAGGTCCAGAGTGTAGATGTTGCTGCGTTCAATAAGATATAAGCTCCTGCAACTCTTACCTTGCCTGGTTATTAAAAAGTTAAGGTTTGAACACAAACATCTGTCTCTTTCATTATTATTCCTCTGAAATATAAATATTTTAACCCCATATTTACAAGGTTTCCTGAACCGTTACCCCTTTGGGGTACAGGTAGTTTAACATTTAAGGAGAACATAGCTTTAGGGTAGAACCCAACCCCACCCAGAATCCAGGGTGTAGAGGTTGGCTGAACATAGTCTTGACTTTATGAAGTAAAACCATGGTATCAGAAACACTGTAGAAAGACAACGTCCCACCTCTGAAGTCCAGATACACTCCTATCCTGTTGCAGCAAGGAGCAGTGATGTTCACACTGTCCTTATTGTGCTGAAATGAACAGCCAGAGGAAGAGCAGTCCAAGCTCCAGGATTTGGAGTTGTCCCCCATTTTGCAGTCACTCCCACCTCCACTCCTGCTCATGTTTCTGTAGCAGACACCAATAGAAACCCCTCCAGTTCCAGCCCACTCTACCTCCCAGTAGCAGCGCCCAGCCATCCCAGCTCTGCACAGCACCTGGGCCCAGCTGGTGAAACGTTCCGGGTGGTCTGGGTAGGGCTGTGGCTCCGAACGTGTGGTCACCACTCTCTGACCCTCAGTGAAGCATAAATAAGGGTTGGCTGTGTTAGGATCCAGGATTATATCGCTGTAGTCTGAGAAGAGATGCACACAGTCAAACGGTTGGTTTCATAAAGAAGTCAGCTGTGGTGCCAATCAGTTGTATTAGTGATGTTTTTATTAATGGCAAATGTTGGTCAATTAATCTACCACTTTAGTCCAGTCCAAATTATCTGAATGACTATGGGATGGATTGTTATTTAATACAAATATAGGATTAACTGTAAAAACTTGTTTCCATCATGTTGCATTTTCAGGTCAAATTTTTAATTGGTCCAAAACGTTGGCCCTAGAAACCTACAGTATTGAGATGCATTAGCATGTGTGTTAGCATTGCTATAAACTAATTTACTGTGGTCCCAATTCATGCAAACTAATTCTGGACAATACATACTAGAGTATATACTCAGTCACAGTACACTTTTGTTTAGCAGTTAGGCAAATATCAACATTTTAGCATTTTTATTATGACAGATCTTTTGGAGCTGTCTTGCCATCTATAACTACCGCCTCAATTTTTGAGCAGTGTATTGTGGGTAATAGCCTGCAGGCTGTCACTTTAGTGTGAACATTGCAAATCAAAAACCTGCTCAGAATCAGTATGTAGTATTAATTTAAAACAGCAATGGCCTAGTTAGAGGGTCTATGAAGTAACTGTACTCACATTGTAGAAAATCAGCTCTGGTCTTTGGTTCTGAGTTGTATGGCATGTCCGTGTCTCTTGCTGTTGGATATTGTTGTTAGTTAATTTGAGCACAGTTATTGTTAAACTTGTTTAAAGCACCAAAAACATATGTACCTTTAGTCTTTTCAGTGGTACTTTGATTGTTGGTTCCCTTCAGTGAAATCACTTGAAATTAGATAAGATGCTTCAGTGTCAGTTTACCCTTCATAACTTGTAAAAACAAAAGACTTACTATGCTAATCCATTATAAAAGAGACATAC